GAGTATTATGTGTCTGAGGCTGGATTTGAACTCAGGTCCTCCTGATGCCAGGGCTGGTGCTCTATCCACTGCACCACCTAGCTGCCCCAACTTGGAGCATTTTTAAAAACATGACTATCAAGAGCTTGGATTTCTTCCTCTCAAGCAAAAGAAATTCCTACATTGACCATACTAAAAAAAAAAAGTCTCAATCTGTACTGAGTCTATCATCTCTTTGGGAGGAATTGGATAGCCTGTTTCACTGTGAGTTCTCTGGAATCCTGGTTGGTGACTGCATTGATGAAAGAGGTCTTAAGTATTTCAAAGATGTTGTTTTTTTCAATATTGTTATTGTGTAAATTGTTCTCCTGGTTCTACTCATTGTGCTCTGCATGTGTTCATGTAAGTCTTACCAGGTTTTTTGAAACTATCCCCTTTATCATTTCTTAACAGCACAATAGTATTCCCTCACATTCACATATAACATGTTTAGCCATTCCCCAACTGACAGGATTCACTTCAATTTCCAGTTCTTTTCCACCCCAAAAAGAACTGGTATAAATACTTTTCTACATATGGGTCTTACTCCTCTGTTTGATCTTTGAGGTGAGGTCTAGTAGTAATATTGCTGGGTCACAAGGTATGGTACAGTTTAATAACTTCTGAGGCATACACAGTTCCAATTGCTTTCCAGAATAGCTGGACCACTTCACAGCTATATACCTGTTTTCCCAGAGCTGCTCTAGCATTTGGCCTTTTTTTTTCTTCCTGTTTGTCAAGTTTGTCAGTATGAGGACTGTTACTTACAGTTGTTTTAATTTGCATTTCTGTAATTATTAATGATTTGGGGCATTTTTTCATATGGTTATTGATAGCCTGGATTTCTTCCTCTGAAAACTGCCTGTTCATATCCTTTGACCATTTATTAATCGAAGAATAGCTCATATTCTTATAAATTTGAATCAGTTCCTTGTATGTCTTAGAAATGAGTGCTTTACACTTCTAGGGCTGTATCCAAAGAGATCATAAAAATGGGAAAATGACTCACATGTACAAAAATATTTAAAGCAGCTCTTTCTGTGTTGGCAAAGAATTGGAAATTGAGGGGATGCCCATCAATTGGGGAATGGCTGAACAAGTTTTGGTGTATGAATGTAACGGAATAGTATTGTGCTATAAGAAATGATGAGGAAGTAGACTTCAGGAAAACCTGGAAAGACTGGTATGGACTGATGCTGAGTGAAATGAGCAGAACCAGGAGAATGTGGTACACAGTAACAGCCATGTTGTGCAATGACTAACTTTGAGAGACTTAGCTCTTCTCAGCAATGCAAGGATCTAAGACATCTCCAAAGGCCTCATGATAGAAAATGGTATCCACACCCAGAGAAAGAACTATGGAGTTTGAATGCAGATGGAAGCATACTGTTGCGGTGTAAGAGGTTGAGAGGTTATGACCCCTCAAAGACCGGAGTACAGGATGGGTCATCTGGAATGAATTCACAGATTCAAGCATTCTTCAAGGTGGCAAAGATTTATTGTTACGCTGTTCAGTGGGCAAGGATTCTTAAGGATTCCTGCGAAAGACAAAGAATGCAGCTAGGGTTTATATGGAAAAGAGCATGGGAAAGTAATGCCAGGGACACTGAGGAGGTAATCCAAAGGTGCAGGTGTCTTTGGGGCCTATGGATGGGAAAGTACAGGGAGTATACCGGACAGGGAGGGAGATGACAGAGGTATGGATCTTTGGAGTCTGGCAGGAGGAAGAGTCCTTGGGCTGGGCAAGGCACCCCTCTCCCTCTGTCTTGATGAGAGAATGCTCTGCAACAAAGTAAAGCTTTCTCACAAGACAGGAACTTACTAAGGAATTGGGAGGCTTCCAGAGACATCATCTGAGGGCTGGGGCCTGAGCAGCCCAGCTCTGTGTAGCTGTACCAGGGAGAGAGATAAGGGTCGTGCTGAGGCCCATGCATGAATAACTGCTAGGCACAGTGTCCTTGGGCTGGGGAATGGTTGTTAGAGACAGTGTTTCTGAGACTAGGGAGAAATTGGGGTACAAGTACAAGCACCCAAGCACAAGCACCAAAGCACCCCATCAATACTATTTGCTCTTTTTTCCCCCCCTTCTGTTTTGTTTCTTCTTTCTTGTGGTTTCTCCTATTGGTTCTAATTCTTCCTTACAACATGACTAATGTGAAAAGAAAAAAAAGAAATGAGTACTTTATCGGAGCACACAGCAAAGATACACACACACACACACAGAGTGTACCTGCTTCTCTTCTAAAAGGTTATTTCTTTTACTGTTTTCAAACAGCTTTAACTTCATTTACATTACCGCTATAGTCAGAGATTCACAAAAGGCTTCAACTAAGCAAGACCTTAGAGATAACATAGGCCCTTAACTCTGGTTTTCGAGGTGAAGAAACTGTGGCACCCCCCAGCTTCACACAACTAGTTTCTCTTTGGCGTTTTCTCCTTCCTACCAGTCCTTTTTCAGCCTTTCTTGCACACGTACAACCACCACCCCAAGTCAGGCTCTTTGTGAAAGGCTACTGAAGCCCCCTCTTGCTTGCTCTCTTTAGAATATGCATTACAAAATATCAAGAGGTGAAAAGGCACTGAAATACTAGGAGGTGGGGGTCTTCCATCCTGGATAAAAAAGAACTACAGTTAAAAAAAAAAGAAGCATCTGTGCACTTCACTCTCTTTCCAAACTCATTAAGGAAAATCCAGCACTTTAAAGAACTGCTCAAAGTGCTGCCGCAGGTGAGGCTGACAAATAGCATCCCAGGCAGCCTTAGGTGATTTGAATAATAGAATACACAATGGGTCTCTCCTTAGCCCCAAGACCTTAAGTAGGTAATTCTAAAGTGGGGAAATAGGAGCAGGTGGCTTTCCTAATGGGTGTAATTAAGGTTGTTTTGGGTAATCTATTTACTATTTGCCTAAAATGGGGTTAGTGCCACAGACCTCCTGCTGGACCAGCAGTTCTAAATATCCAAAATGATCACTACTTAGGGGGGCGGGCAGGGGGAGGACCCTAAACCTTTCTCAGTAATTTGAGGTGCAGGCTGTATGTGCGCTCTGTAGAAGAGTGTTTTGAAATGAAAGTCCAGAATGTACAATTTGCAGACCTTCTCCCACTTTTTTGGGGTTTATTCTGTGAAAAGGAACTTGGAGTTGCCTTAGGCAAGCCGCTTCATTTCCTTCCTTTGTAAAATGAAGTAGTGAGAGTAGACAGCCTCCAAGGTTCCTTCCAGAGATAACACTGCAGGAGAGAAAACTGATACTGTTTTAGTTCATTAATATCTCATTATTTTAAAGGGAAATCTGAGAAGATAAGATAGTGCCTTGAGATAGCTTTAGTTATTTTTAAGATTAGAATAGTGATACTTTTCTTACTGACACTTAGTAGGAAAGCTTTTTTGAGCATGCTTTGACTTCTTCCCATTTGTGTAGAGTCTAAAAACTGGACAGAGCAATTACTATGGAAAAAGTATTTTATGGGCTATGAAATATGATTTGTTTCCTCAGAACTTAAAAACTGGAATTATAGTGCAGTATTCTAAGTACATTCTTTAATAAACTTTTCTTTGCCCAATGACATTCATTCAGCATTTCTAATGTTTAATAAAGCTTTTGGATTTTATGAAAAGCACCAAAGTAGTCCTTGCCAAATGATTGGAATGATCCAGATGTTACAAAGATTTGTTTTCAAATTTCAGCTGCCTTAGTAACTTCGCAGGAACCCACCCTAGTTTTCAATTAGAGCCGTAAAAATAAAAAAGTTCATAAGTATAAATCATGGCTATCATAAAAAATTACCTTAGAATGAATCAGAAAGATGGTTTCTAAAAGCTAGACATTAGGTTTGAGGCTTTAAGAATATGCTGAAGTTTAAAGTTGGTTTGGAAACGTTAGAGGTTCAATCTTCAGATTCCTAGGATATGATCTTGAAGAGTCTTTTTTTAAAAAATGATGGAAAGTAGTTTCTAAATGTTTCAGTAGAGAACCTTCCCCCTCACATTTTAATTTTATTCTTCATTTAAACACCAAATAATACAAGCATTTCCTTATATAATGTGGAACAAGGGAGGGCTGTGCATGAAATGGGGAATCCCTTATGTAGTTCTTCTCCTTTTAAATATATAATAAATACAACATACAACTTTCAAAACCATCCTGTTGGTCTGTGGTTCCTTCTGCCCTTTCTTTTATTCTTTTCTCAGATGCTTCAAGTCTTTAGCAGAATACTCACTGTAGTCAAGGAAACAAAATTACAGACACTTTTCATTTCACTCCCTAACTCCTGATTTGCTTCTTGGTTAATTTTTTTGGGGTGCGGTTCCCTATAACCTCACCCACTTCGGATTGTAAAGGATTCAAGTAGCCTGCTTTTTGATTCTAGCACTCCTTCTAGCTTGCAGTTCACGGGGCAGTGAGATAAGTCATGTAAAGCACTGCGCAAATCTTAAATAGCCATAAAATTCTAGGCTATCATTATAAGCTCCTTGAGGGCAGGAGAGACAAATTATTCCCCATTTGTATTCCTCTACAGAAAGCACTTAACAAAGGGTTGCTGGATTTCATCGAGGTGCAACAAGGCTGCAGTGTTCGCCCTCATCTCCACCTCCTGGCTTCCCTGCCTCCCTTCTCCAAGAAAGCCTTATCCCTTCTCCTAGATCTTGGTGTCTTCCCTCTCCGACCAACCCCAGTTCATCCTATCTCTCTCCTGTCTGTATACACTTGCTGGCCTGCCATTAGACCGTGCGCTCCTTGAGGGCAGGGGCTGTTTTTGCCTTTTTTCCTTTGTATCCCCAGTTCTTAGCACATAGTAGGTGCTTATGAAATGCTATTTAGACGCCTAAGTGAAAACCACCTTTGTTTATTACAGCTGTCCCTCCTCCTGCAGCTCACAAGCACGTGGGCGCCCGCGAGCTCATTACCGCTAGCTCTGGGCCCACACCCGAGCGGCGTCCTCGTGCAGCTGCCCTCGTGGCAGGTGGGCGGGGCTTCGCAGTCTAGGACACGTAGGCATGCCCAGGCTGAGTCAAACTGCGTGGCAGCAGGCCCTCTGAGCCAGACCGGAAGCAGGCGTGGAGGAAGGCAGGAAACCGGAAGTGGGTGGCGGCGGGAGAAGGCGGGAGCGGGTGAGCTTCCTCAGCCCGAAGGGCTGGCTCTGGGGGAGGCTGCTGGGCGTCTGCTGGGGATCAGGAAGCCTCCGGGCCTGGCCACGATAGCCCTGCTCTTTCTTGTTTCGTAGGCCTCAAGGGTGAGTAGGGGCGCAGCAGGCTCCATGTGGGCCGGAAGCCTGGGTGTGGACTAGGAAGAAGAGCCGACTTGCGCCATTAGGCTAAAAGTAGTTCCGTAACATAGAGGCACTATACTACTTAAATGAAGGTACAAGTTACAGAATTAAGCCAATGGATTGACGTGAAGAAGAGTTTTTTTTTTAAAGGAATGTCTAATGCAAACTTGCACGTGAATGTGGAGGCACTTTAGGGAAGTAGCTTAAAAAGCTGGGCTTAATTTCCTCCCTCTGTAAAGTGAAGTTGGCATGGGTGGCTTTCCATCTATGAAGATAGAAGGTTCCTTCCAGAGCTAACATTGCACAAGAGAAAACTGGTGTTTTAGTTTGTTAACCTTTGCTGTGTCGTCTCAGTCGTATCCGACTATTCGTGACCCTATTTGGGATTTTCTTGGCAGAGATATTAGGGTGGTTTGCCATTTCATTGAAATACATTGACTCAGAAATCACCAATTAAAAAACATTATCATTGCCGTAATATCCTCTCATTTCTTGAGTTAAGGAGAGTATGTTTAGACGAAATACTGCACTTGATATGGACTTTCATGGAAAACAATTCTAGTAAAATCTGTTATGTTTAGGCTTATAATTCAGGTAAATGTAAAACGGGGTATAGGAAAGGTGCATTGGCTGACAAGATAATTTGGTTATAAACTAGAAATTTAAGAATTTTAAGAAATTTGTAAAAAAAGTTTCAGTGTATCCTTTGAAGATGCATATATGTATGCATACACATGAATACATACATGCAACACACATATACACACATGGTGTTGGCACTCAGGGATAGAATTAATACTTACCGGTAGGTTAATTATGTTATTATAGGGTTTTTTTTAATTAGAAAAATTCATTCAGAGAATGTCAGATACCAGGAATTCAATCTAGAAGGAACTTTTTTAGAGGCTGACTAGGTCTGTTTTGCTTTGAAGAAAACAAGACTCGGAGAGTTTAGGTAATACTTTTAAGATTTCATGGTTCATGAACAGCAGAGCTAGGATTTAAACCCTTGTCCTCTGATTTTAAATGCAGGAGTTTTTTTCACCCCACATGATTTTCACTAATGCTGTAGTTGAGAAAGTGTAATGCAAGGTGTCCCAAAGTCTTAATGCATTTAAAATGGATCTTGTCCAATAATGGCATATGAGAATATAATTAGGTTTTAAAAAATGTTTAACCATCATAATTAGGAGTCATCTGGGGAGAGGTTTAAAAAATTGGGTATTTCGAGAAACTCTTTTATTTTTTATTTTTAGAGTGACGTTATGGTTGATTCACACGTTCGAGGAGTTCAAGTAAAGGAGAACATTAAGTTCACACCTTCATTATCTGAACAGCGGCATAAGTTTGTTTTAGATTTTGTACGGAAACACAAACCCCAAAAGGTTGGTTGGCATTTCATTGCTTTCAGTATGTCCAAATGTATAAAGAAGGCTTTCTCCAGACATATCTCCAAATGGATGAGTGGGGAGGGGGGAGCCAAACAAAACACTTGTGTGTAACTGAATGTTGTTTTTTTCTCTCTTTGTATCTCTCAGGCCTAGCCCAGCACTTGGAACAAAGGTGCATAGAAAGGGTTGAGTTGAGTATGTTGCAGTTTCAACATCTTAGAGAGTTTGGTTGAAATTTAATGAACTTGATTTTCCTGTATTTGGGGAATGCTCTTAAGTTAGTAAACTTATTTAACTGAATTAAACATAATCTAATGTAAATAAAATTAGATTTTCCCAGAATGGAATTTAGGATTGGTTTAGGCATTTGATACACATTTGCATTGTCTCTAGTAGAATTGTTGTCATGAGTTAGGGCCTGTTGCATTTGATAAATGCTATACTAAAATTCTATTCCCTATCTTTTTGTTGAAATTGATTTGTGTTTAGAAAGAGTGTAGACCTGATAGGTGCAGCTTCATTCATGATAAATAGGACTTGCAATAGGCATCTTAAAGTAGGATTCATGTCTCAGGATCTGTATGTGCACTGTGTACAACTGGTGACCTAACTTCCTTTTTCCTCTCCTTTTCCCAGATTCCCTGTTCACTCAAGACTTCCTTGTCTTCTTTCTTGAGGAAGGTAGTGTCTCTTGCTCACTCTTCCATCCTCTTTGCTGCATTCTTGGATCCTTTAATTCAGCAAGCATTTGTTCTATGTGTGCTGGGTACCAGGAACTGTGCTGGACAGTGGTCTTTGAGGAGCTTGCGTTCTACGGGGCAAAGCAACGTGGCCACCGTTGTGTAAATGCAAACTATATGCCAAGTAATATTTTTTAGGGATAGGGTGAGAATATTAATCTGAGGGCATTAGAAAACTCCAAGAGGTAAAGAAAAGAACCCTTTACAGTGAAGCTTGTGCAGAGGGTAGGAGGGGGAGTGAGAGTGTGAGAGAGAGAGAGAGTGCGTGTGTGCGTGTGCATGTGTGTGTTGGGAGAGGGGGAAGCAAATAGGTGAGTTTGGCTAGAATGTAGCCTGTGAAGCATTGTTAGAAGATGAGATGGAGCCAGATTGTGAAGGACTTAAATGCCACAGAGGAGTTTGTGCTTCATCCTAGAGGCATTTGAGAGCAGGGGAGTGATATGGTTCGGGAATATTATTACTTTGTCAGTTTTCTGGACCATGAATTATAGAGGGGAGTGACTGGAAGCAGAGAAACCAATTACAGGGCTATTTTAATAATACAGGTAAGAAAATTATGAGGGTGTGGAAGAAAACTGTACTCTGCGTTTTGGGCACAGCCTGACAGAAAAATTGAATTCTAATTCTAAATATCTCTGCTTAGAGGAAGAAAATCCAGAGAGACAGAAATTCAGCTGAACTTTGAGAATCTCAAGTCATTTTTCACTTGCTATTTAATAGTATTCCCAAACAAAAACAAAATTCTGCAACAAGGTAAAACAGTTACAGACTTTTGGTCAAAGTTCAGTCAACAACAAAGTTGAGTCAGTGTTTTGCTTCATCAGACAGAACTTGAGTGTCTGAAAGTTACTTAAATTTGCCACCCATACTGGAGGGTCATTTTCTGAAAACAGTTTGTCTCTTTAACAGCTCTTTCCAAGGGCTCTTCTTTCGTTATGGTCAAAGGTAAACTCATGAAATACTTCTATTAAATGAATTAGTGAAAACCTTTTTCTTAGTCTGATCATTACACTAATCATTTCAGGAAAGAGGTCTTCCTAGGCTAATGAGGCATTTCCCTTTAAATCGATTAAGCATTTGATAAGAATGATTTTTAAAAAGATTTCAGTGCTGGACATTGTTTAAGAATTGATCATTTAAAAACTAACAAAGATTTCTCATTAGAACGAGTACCTCTTGATATTTTGTAATGCATATTCTAAAGAGAGCAAGCAAGAGGGGGCTTCAGTAGCCTTTCACAAAGAGCCTGACTTGGGGTGGTAGTTGTATGTGTGCAAGAAAGGTGAGGGATACAAAAGGTGTTGCTGAGCTCAAATCAGTAAGATAGCACCTTATTGGATGTGGGGAGGATGGTGTGCAGTGGAGTATGAAATAGAGGGAGGAATCAAGGATGACTCCAAAGTTTAGAACCTGAGTTCCTAAAAGAATGGTGATGTCCTTGACATAAGTAGGGAAATTAAGAAGACATGATGTATTTGAGATGCCTGTGGGACATGAGGCTGGATATTTAGATTGGAATTTATCTGCAAAAGATGATTACATTTTGGCTGAGACACTCCTCTCTGCATTAAGAGAGAATATAGAGAATGGAAAAAAAAAGCAGAGATGTCAAACACAGGTCAAGCTGGCCTCTGAGTGAGGCCAGAACCAGATTAAAATGTAACTGGGAAATTTTTAACAAGCAAAAACACAAGACATAGGTAATATAACATTTTAAGACCAAATGATTACGTAGCCCCCAGGGATCCTTATGTCTAATTTAGTGGCCCTAGTTTCTATACGAATTTGACACCAGTGAAGAAGAGCACCTAAGAAGTGCATGAGAAGGGAGTGGGAGATATATGATGATTCAGCAAAGGACATCTAGGCATACGTGGTCAGGTAAGAAGAGAACCAGGAGAGGGCAATGTTCTTGAAAATACTAGGAAGAGAGAATATTGGGGGTGGGGAGTACCAACATTGAGGTAAAGAAAGATGAGCATGAAGAAAGGGTCACTGGATTTAGCCATTAATAGATTCTTGGTAATTTTGGAAAAAGCAAGTTTAGTCAGGTGGTGAAGTGAGTGGAAGGTGATGTAAAGGTGTCAATATGGGCATCTTTTCTGGGATTTTATTCTCAAGTTAATATTTCCTTTAATAGATATCAATGTCTTAAGTAAAAAAGATAGACCCTTTAGATATCATCAAAGAGTATGGAATTATGATGTAGAGTTTAGCACCTTTGTGTTGCTCCTGAGCTCCTACTTCTAACTATCTGTATCTTGTGGAGAAAACTAATTTGTGGAAACTTCTGTAACTATTATGCTTTATTCGAGATGGGATTAGGAGTATAATTGGTACATTACAATCATTGACAGAATTTGTATTTCATCTTTGAAAGGGGCAATAAGATTTCTTTGACTGTCGTAGGTTATTGTGTGGCCTTAAGGCACTTAAGGGTATACTATATCCTTTGGGGTTAGGCTTTGATCAATTGATGCTATGGCTTTTTTAGGACTTTTGACTGATTTGTATTCCTTTAAATTAGATGTTTCTAAAGACCTGCAAAAGCCATTACTGTGAGGCTGATAGTATTTTTTACAATAAAAAGGATAGGTTTCTACTCAAGAAACTATCTACAGTATTTTAAAGTTATATTCTACAGAATAATAAATAATAAAGTGTGCAAAACATTGATATATCCATTCTATATACATAGAAAGCTCAAACCAGTTATCCTACTATTAAGATCTTATTTGTTGTTATGGAAGTTTGTCGCTCAAGAAGGCACTCTGTAACACCAAGGAAGTATTTACGGAGGCATGCATTGAAATTTAAAAAAAAGTAAACCAAAACCTTTTCTTCTTTTGCTATTCCTTATTTATGTACTCAATTAAAAAATTATTTGGCCTCATTAGGTTAATATGTTTATAGTAAAATAGGCTGTGTCATTACTTAGGAGACAGGTGATCCAGAATTATGATCTGCTTCAATGGAGGAAGGAACTGGAAGATTTAGAGTTAGTTGTCTGGGACACAGAGGTTAAGTGACTTACCTACTCTCACAGTTGGTATATGTCGGAGTGAGGGAGACTTGTCTTCTACACCTGGCTCTAAGTCTAACCTTATCCCCTATATCATGCTGCCTTTCCATGTCATTATTCTATTCTTATTTCTAGGAATCTCCTCAATTCATGCTTGAGCATATTTTTGTGATAAAATATCTCATAAAAATACCTTTTGAGATAGCATATGGTTATTGTCTTTTCCATTTTATTTCTAGGTTGCAGATTTGGGATGTGCCAACTGTAAGCTCTTGTGGAGGCTAAAATATCATGAATCCATTGAGGTGCTTGCTGGACTGGATATTGATGAGAACATATTAACACGGAACATGTAATATTGTACTTAATTTTTTTCCCTAAAAGTCTTTACTTTTAGATCAATGAATATCATAGAAAACTTACCATGATTAAGTTTAGTTTTGTAAATATTGAACTTGAAAAGGTTAGGAAGATTGAAAAAACAGAGCCTTACTCAAGATCAATGAATAAGATGATTTTTTTTTTGGTGGTTATATTCCTGCATTGGGCTTAATTGGATTTTTAAAACGGGGGATGGGGAACGACCTTGTTTTATTTGTCGAAACATGAAATTACTGTTCCCATGCCATTAAGATGATCCTTAGTGAATTAGACCATTTTTGATTGTAAATCCGTTTTGCTTTTATTTAATAATACTCTATCTTATCATAGTAGACGACATTGCATGGTGCTAAGAGTTACTTAGGTTGTGAGTCAGTTTATTATATAATTTTGTATTGTTGTAACCATAGTTTCATTTTCATGAGGAAAAGATAGGTGTTGACAGGTTTTTCCAGTGGCACCACATCTTCAAACACACAGTTGACTGAAATATTGGGAATACAAAATCATAAATCAATGCTGTAGAGTTGATTGCAAAACAGAAACCAAAGAAAACATTTGCCTTGGAACAGAATAGTAATTTAAAGTTTCTCAAATAATTCATTTCCTGTATATGTGTTAAGATTGTCTAAGATTTGCTAATGAAACTGCAGCCATTATTTTATTTAATGATCTCATCTGATAGTAGTTGTCAAATGAGTTAATGTATATAAAGCTCTGTACCAACTTTAAATAACTATATAAATACCAGTTAAATAAAAATAAATAAATGCAGGATGAGGTAGGAGACATAATTACTACAGAGATTTGCTAATATCCTCGAGTGAATCCTGTGTATAAAGTCCAAATAGGTTTTTAGATGGTCCTGCTTACAAATAATGTATTTGATTGCTTTAAGTTCCAGAACACTACGGGATACCCCATTGAAATGCATGATCATGCTAAAGAGATGTCTATACAGAAAATAGCAAATAAAGGAAGAGTGCGTGTCATCCAGATTGTGGGAGGAGTAGCCCAATGAGTTGGTTCCATGTGTACGTGTATCTTGCATGATGTGTGCAGATGAACAATGAACCAGGCTTGAAACTAGTTAGGGAAAAGAATAGGCTAGATTGTATCTGACAAGGTACATACACTTTCATTGATCATTAACTGTTTCTTGCTGCAAAAGCCTAACTTTTAACTCCATTATTCTTCAAATGATACCATAATGGTTGTGAGTTACGGAATACCATGTTGGTAGTACATGGTGAAGTGGCTGCAGCTATTTCTTTGATGAAACTTTGTGAGAAGAGCAATTAGTGATCAGGCACATGTATGAATATAAAAAGAGATGAATCGGCCATAAAGTGATACTTGTGACAGGATGACTTGATTTGATAGTTTGATCAATATTTTATAATTTGGGTGAGGTGCATTCTTGAGAATAGATTATAATTTGTAGTTATGAAAAATGATATTGCTGATATAATAATAGAAGGTTTCCAGCATGTGCTGCTTTTCCATGCATGGTTTTTGGAAAGAAGTTGACAAGAATCACACTGGATGAGAAAGGGCTCTAATCTGTATTGATTGATAGAGAGCCCATGTGGAGGTCATAGTGCCGTAGAAGTTTTGCAGTTTAGTACATAGTTTAATTGAAGTCTTAGTTTCAGCTTTTAAAAATATTAAGCATTTTTCGTAACTACAAAAGTCTGTGGTTCCATTTTCACAAACTAATTTGGTGACTGAATACTGTTTAGCACTTGAAATATCAGTGAAACCCATAAATGCTGATCTTGGAGATAAAAAAAGACTCCAAATAAAAGGGAGTTGGGTAATTTTTAGAGCAAAGTAGAGAAAATTAAAATCTCAATCTTATTCAGTTTATTGAATTCTATTCAATTATCTATTTTCAGTATTAACTGTTTTATATATAGTTTTACACAATTTCATATTAAGTGTTTTGGGCTAAAATATTACTGGCATCAAAATTCTCAGGACCCCTATTTTCCAGATAAGTTTTTATAAATAGAAAGCAGTTTAATAAATGCTACTCTTTGTAACTGAGACGTCCCTTAATTTAAATATCTCAGTTCATTTTGCCTACATCCATCTTAACTTTCCTAAAGTAGTAAGTGCTAGGAATGTTCTTAGGGTAAAAAATTTTGAAATTAGATATCTATTTATAAATGTAAAGTCCTGTGATTCTAGTCCTTCAGATCACGATAATCTATCATAACACCAGCTCTAAAAACCTATTTTCTGGGGTCAATGTGGTTATCTGTTTTCTTTGAAGATGTTATCTGTAGGCCAAGGAGTGCTATGGCATAATAAGCATGGTTTTTATTCCATTAAACTTCCTTTTATTTTCTGCTTTTAGAGTTTTTGTAGTTTATGCTATAGTTTGATTCTGAGGTTGGATTTAATATGAATAGTTCTTTGGGAATAAAGTTTCCTTCACCTTGAAGGCCTGGTGGACCTTTGACTGTTGATTATGGGCATCAGACTTGGAACACTTTTAGTCACTCTTAAAATAACTTTTTTGCAGTTATAGGTTACATACAGGTGCTGGAGACTATCTAGATCCCAGGGAGAGGCCTTTAACTATTACCTTATATCATGGCTCTGTGGTGGAAAAAGATCCTTGCCTCCTTGGATTTGATTTGATAACTTGCATAGAATTGTGAGTATTGATCTGACAGGTATTCTGTGGTATTAATTTAAAGGATTTTTTCTTGCCTAAATTAGTGGGAATTAAAGGGAAAATGACATGTACTGCTTGAGTCCAACCAATTAAATGGCAAATGTATACTCTGTAAGGTGGAACCAAGGGAATACATGCATAGTGACCACATGTAAAAGACATCATTAAAAGACTTCAAAACTCAGATCAAGACAATAACAAATCTTGATCGTAGAACACTGATCAAATATACTTCCCTCCTCTCATGTTGAGGTAGTGGACTACAGATGCAGAACAAGACAACGAGCTACGTACTAGACATGATCGGTTGGTTTTATTTAACTGTACTTCTTGCTTACAAGAGAGTTCTGTTGGAGGAGGAGTGGTATTGAGAAATGACAGTGTTTCAAAAGACATTGATAAAACATTGACAGGCTTTGAGAATCAAATAAATCAGTTCCTTTCTCTCATTTTTCAAGTGGTGTTTATATGACAGTTTGGAGGGAAAATGTGCTAGATTAGTAATTTTTATTGGCGGCTTTTATGTATCATGTTTATAATTCTTTTGCGCCAACTGACTTTATCCTTGAAGAGATAGTAACATTGAGTTTATTAATACCTAAAGGGATAGCAAAGGAGGCCAAAGTTTCCCCTTTTAAAGTATACAGTCCTTGAGGACAGGAACTGTTTAACTTTGTACCCTTTGCTTAGCACTGTGCCTGACACATAGTAAAATGCTTAATAAATCCTTTTTGACTACTCAGCTGTAAAGTATGGTTAACAGTTCATACATGAAAACTTTACTTTGGTTGGAGGCAAAAAACCCCCAAACAAACCCTTCATATTCCATATCCAGTTCAAGTTAGGGCTAATAATGTAGATAATTTTTTTCTTTATGAGAATTTTGACGAGAATTTAAATTAAGCTTACCGAGCTCTGGTTTTGAAGGTTCTACTCTTTTTTTTTTTTTTTGAAATCAGGGTAATATTTGCCCTTCTGTGTTGAGGTGCCTCTCAGATTCTCTGTGGCCCTTTAAAGGTCACTAAGTAGTAGCTTACATTGTAGCTACCAGTTATAAGGACTCCAGGGTGGCATTCTACAGTTCTAGTGACTTAAAATTACTGATTACAACTAGGTTGCTGCTATTATCTCTTTACTCCCTGAGTAGGCATTTTGATTTTATCTTTCCTAGTCCACAGATCATTCTTGACAGAGGGGGAAAAAGCCAAGTAAGAGTTAAATGGCTGTCATCTCTTTCATTCTCCTTTCCTTTGATCCTTTTCCCAATATACCTTAAAAAAACCCCAACTTTATCGTGTTTGGTATTAGAACATTTGACTGAGTACAGCAAAATGGTGCCTTAAAAGACCCTCTTCTAACAAGAAATCTATTGATATGTTAAGATCATATAAAGTGTAGATGCAACCAGAGAACCTTGACACAATGAGAGAATTTTGAGAATTGGAAGGGACCTCTCTGGCCATCTAGTCCAACCCATAGCCCTCTACAGTATATTTGATAAGTGGTCATTTTGCCTCTGTGTGGATGGGAGGCAGTCTTACTTCCCAAGGAGATCCATTGGCACAGTGGATAGAGTCAGAATTGGAATAGGGAAGACTGAGTCTAAAACCTGCCTCAGACACTTTACTAGCTGTGGAACATTGCACAAGTTACTTAACCACTCACAGCCTCAGTTTCCTTATTTATTAAATGGGGATTGTAGCATCTACCTTATAATGTTAGGAACAGGTGAGATGGTATACATGTAAGCACTTAGCAAAAGTGCTATATAAATGCTGGCTACTATTATTATTCACTTTTGCACAGCTCTGATTTTTAAGAAGCTTTTTCTTATGTCATTATAAATTGGCCTCTGTAACTTGCCATGCTCCTAATTCTGCCCTCTCAAACCAAGAACAAGCCTGATTCAAACCACTACCTCATATTGCTCTGCTTTAAGGAACACTTGATTTAGCCCTTTATCCCCCTCCTTACAAAACCACTCATTTCTGGTATATGCCTGAGTGGACTTTTTCATGAGTTTCTCTTCACTTTTAGTTCTTCCCCTGAAGTTGTCGTGTTTGTTATTGGGGTAATTCACCAAGTGTCCTTTATTGATCTTCCCCTATGTATTGTCTTTTCTGATATTCTAGGAAGCCTTCTCAGCTTATTACAAATCTACCTCTTACTCTCATCTAATTGGTAATCATAGCCATGTAGATATATTTTTTTAACGTAGTTGGTAATTTTTTTTTCCCCCCTCAACTTTCATTTTAGACATGCATATCATTTCTGGGTTGATCCATCTTATTTTTCTTCCCCAGTTACAAATTTCTTCAGCAAAGAATGTGTAATAGAAAGAACACTGACTAGAGTCAGAGAACTTGGGTTCAAATCTCACTCCCTGGGTGACATTGGGTGAATCACTTAACCTCTCTTAGCCTCGGTTTCCTCATTTGTGAAATGAGGAAGTTGGAAAAGATGGCCTCTCAAATGCCTTACGGCCCTAGATCTGTGATCCAGCCAAGACTCTTAAAGCACCAAACAGCAGTAAAATGTGCATTGTGTAAACTAGTCCCTTGATGATAAACTCATTCTGGACTTAATTTCTGATAATCTTATTTGTAGTGCCACAATGTCCTGAGTATTTTGTGCATTTTTGCTGGGCCAACGCTGAGCTTTGAGGGGATATGGGGAATATAAAAAGTACGTTTTCTAGTCCAGTTGAATTATTTTTTGTCCCCACATAGACCATGTGTCTTCCAGCCTCCATGTTTTTGTTCACATCTACTTTATTCCTAGAATATGTTCCCTCTTCATCTTTACCAACAGAATGTTAGCTCCTTGAGGGCAGCCACTGTTTATTTTTGTTTTTGCATCCCTAGCTTGTTGCACAGGGCCTAGCACAAAGTAATGCTTAATTCAAATTGGTTGATTAAATTTCTATCTGTACTTTAAAACCCAAGTCAGAAGCTACCTCTTATATGAAACTTTCCTTAATGGTTGTCCTTCCCCAATCTCATCTCCACCTAGTACAGGAAGTATAAGCTATGACCTGTGTCTTCAAGAAGATTACAGTCTAGGTGAGGATATAAGGGTCTTAAGTGAAGCAGTAGATGGAAAAAAATAAGAGAACAACATACCATTCGCTTTTCTTTGTATCCCCAGCACTTAGCACTGTGCCTGGTACATAGTAAATGCTTAAATAAATGTTTGTTGACTTGATGAGTAAATTTTGTGGTAATGACTAATGTGGTATTATAGATATTATAAATGTTATTATAGATATTAAGAAAGTGTCAAACCAGGTATAGTTTTTATTAATTGATTTAGAAAAAGTACTTTAAAAGAATCAATACTATCTCTAAATTCATTGGATCTTAACCTTTTCAGAATAGAACATCTAGAAGCCAAAGAGTTGTCCCAGTTTCCAGAAGTAATATTTGGATTCTTCTCTCCAACCACGGTTATTATCAGCACACCAAATTCCGAATTTAATCCCTTGTTTTCAGGAAAGACACTATTCCGACATCCAGATCACAAGTTTGAATGGGACAGAACACAATTTCAAAGTTGGTGAGTTTTATGAATAAGCGTCACAGTTGAGTTTAAAGTAATTAGTTATCTTTTTTATAGTAATTAGTTATCTTTTTTATAGTAATTAGTTATCTTTTTTATATGTTAAAAGTATACATTAAATTACAGGATAAATGAATAAATAAAAAGGTATTTATTAAGTGTTTACCATGTACTAATGTTAAGTGCTGGTAGTACACATCAAAAAGCAAGACAATTCCTGCTCTCAAAGAACTCACGTTTTAGTGAGGGAAAACAACACACATGGAAGGGTTCACCTCTGAGTTGGATGGAAAGGCCCAGTGGTTCTCTAGGGTACAGTGAAAAAGCAGATGTAAATGTATCTTTTTTAGTGTTATTTCCATTAGGACCATATCTATTTCTGTCGTTCTGTTTGATAATAGCAAGGGCTTTGGTAATGAGAACTTTCTTTTTGTGGGTCTTTAGTGGCCATGGCTACCTAAGAGGCAAACACTGAAGCACCTACATCACCAGGTTGAATTTCCATGAGGGTCATTCCCCTAGACAGTGTCTTTGGGGTCTGGGCTAGAAGCAGGGTTAGTAGTCTAAAAGTGGAGTTCTGCTGTTCTTGGGGCTCTTGGACTCACCCTTAGTGGCAGTTCTTGGTGGTTGTTGGCAGTGGCAGGCCCTTTCTGCACAAGATGTGCTTTCTTGGATGATAGGTATGGGGGCAGGGATGGAGGCAGAGATCATATTATTGTATTAGAGCTAGGTTGATGGCGGGACCACTTTTCCCTAGTGTACCTGTCGTCGTTGTTTGGGCCGGGCTGAAAGTGGGGATGTTGGTTGGGGGTGGGAGATTGTTATTTTCTAAAGCACGGGGTCTTGAGTTAGCCCCATCTTGGTCTGAAGAGAGGTGGTTGTGGTCATTTGACCTACTTGATACATACTGCTCCCATTCTCGTCTGTAGAAAGCTTCACATTCATTTTGAATAATCTTTAAATTGGCTATAATATATTTAATCTAGTTTCTTCAAATTACCTAGGTCATCCATAGCTTCTCCTGCCACAAGTTGGGTATGCTTGGAAGCAATTCTAATAGTAGCCTCAGCCAAGTGAATGTAGAAAGACAAATCTCTTGCTTCCTTATCTTAAAAGCAGAGAACAGAAGACTTTTAGATCATCTGCTGTTTTTGTCTGTTCCACACCTCCTTGCTGCTAGTCCCCACCACTATTGTTGTGGCTTTAGCGTAGATTGAATATGCTCATGCGTGAGTTTTTTTGCTGTGGAATTGTCTAAATAGTTATTCCTTTCGACAGGAGCTTTTTAGATTACAGTGCTTTTTATTGAAACTGTGCTTGTCTTTTATTTTTCTCCAAGGTTAACTATTCACCCTCTTGGTGACTTTATAAAAGGTTAAAATGAGAATACTTAAACCACAAAAGTATTAACCTTGGTTCAGCTTGCAAATATTTCATTGTTCATGGACATTAGCCAATGGGTAAACATTGTCTCCATTTTATCCATTCATATACCAAATTTTAAGTGCTTTGTTAAAATCCAGGTGTACTATATCTCTTGTATTCCTCTGATCTACCACTCTAACAACATGTCAAAAAGAAAGTAACATCCTTGGCATGACCTATTCTTAACAAACCCTTCTGGCTCTAAGAAATTACAGCTCCTCTTTCTCAATGTTCATCCCATCACTTACCTTCTAGAATTTTGCCAGAGATCATTCATACTTGTGGTCTATAATTTGACCTATTTACTACTTTCTTCCTTACCTTTGACAGTGGAGACATTTGTTGGGTCTAGTCCTGTAGCATCTCTTCTGTTTGCCATTCTTTTATAGAGATATCCCTTAAGGGTGAAGGGGTCTTCAGAATGCTTTTTATCTCCTGAGTTCCAACCATTGTGCTTCCCGCCAGGGTTATCAGTTAACATCACTTAGTCAGCCAGACTTAATTAGCTTTTAGAAAGGGTTATTTACTAAGGTGGTGCAGCAAGAGCAGTTTGTACAAAACATCCTCCTCAAGAGCCTGGGGACATGTGAGAGAAGGATAACTTGCAGCTCCTGGAGACCTTCTGCTGGAGTTCTCGAGATGTTTCTCCTGAGCAGGGTGTAGCTTTTCTGCTGGGCACCTTGAAGAGCCTTGGATCTCCCTCCATTCTGTCCTTGACTCCCAGTGTAGACACTGCCATTACTAAACATTGTCCCAGAGGCCTTAGCCTGAGGAGGGAAAGAGCTCTAGCTGAAGGGAAGGTCTTCAAATCAGATGTGGCATCTGAGAAATGATAGTGAATTGGGGAGTACTTTCCAGAATTGGAGAAAGCCCACACAAGACGTGAGGATGAGGTGGAATACAAAGTTCAGGTCATATCAACCAGGCCAGTTTTGCTGGAACATACTAATCAATAAACATCTTAAGTACCTACTGTGTGCCAGGCACCTAGAAAGGCAAAATTCAGCCCTTGCCCTCAAGGAGCTCACAAAATAATGGGGGAGACAACATGTGAACAAATCCATACAAAGCCAGCTGTGTGCAGAATAAATATGAAACAGTTAACAGAAGGAAGGCGCAAGAAGTAAGAGGGGTTGGGAAGGTGACATCAGCTTGGAAAGGTAGGCTGTGGCCAGATTAATGTGTGGCATTAAATAGCAAACTGAGGACTTTGTATTTTTAGTGGTAGTAGAGTGCTTCTGAAGGTTGGTGACCAGGTGAAGGGCATGGCTGTTCTGCATTTTAGAAAAATTATTTTGGCCCTTGTTTGAAAAAGGGAGAGACTAGAGGCCAAAAGACCCTGCCATATAAGAGGTGGGGAGAACTTGAACAGGGGTTGTAGCCTTATAAGTGGTAAGTTTATAAGATGTGGAAGTAGAATCAATTAAAAGGGCTTGGCAACTGGTTGGATTTAGAAAATGGGGAAAGGGATTGCAAATCTGGGTACCTAGAAGGATCATAGTAATAGGAAAGTTTGGAGGAAAGGAAAGCTTGAGGGAAGATAGTTCTCTTTTGGTCATTTTGGGTTTGAGATGCCTTTGGGACATCTAAGATTACCTAGATATTCAGCAGACAATTGGTGAGGTGGAACTGGAGTTCAAAAGCAGTTAGGGCTGTATATATGTGTTTGGGAGTTAACATACAGACATTCCTCTTGCCCTTTATATTTGATATAATTATAGGTAGTTTGTAGACTACATTTTAGTATTACAGTTTTTTTTCTGTTTTTCCTGTCCTTCTGGTTTTTCCTATTCCACTCATTTGATTTTCATTTGTTGGTCACGGGACTCCTTTAAATTGCTTAGTGCCTCCTAATTTCTTTATTGTGTAGGATGGTCCTTTAGGATGTGTAGTTTCTAAGCCCAACTTACCTTGTAGCAGAATAGGTGGTGCCTTATGTGTTATAGTGTCTGGGCCACTGAAATGATTGAAATAATGTAAATCACTAGAGCTAATGAGATCTGTGAAAGGAAATGTACAAAAGAAAAGGGCCCAGGAGAGAATCTTGGGTAATGACTCTTGCTAACTGAGGTGGGACGTGGATGAGCCATCAAAAGAATCACAATTTCAGAATTAGGCAGGATCTTGGTGGTCTTCAAGTTTAACCTGTACCTGGAAAAAGAATCCCCTCGGCCTACCCAGTGCTCAGCCCCTGCTTCAAGAGAACAGCCTGTTCCACTTTTTTGTCAAGAAGTTTTTCCTTACATCAAATATGAATTTGGTTCTTTGTAGCTTCCAGTTTGGCTCCTACTTCTGCCTTCTGGAGCTAAACATAACATACCTACTCCCTCTTTCACGCAAAAAATGTGAAGACAGTTATCTGCCCCTCCTCAGTTTTCTGTAGGCTCAATAATCCCAGTTCCTTCAACCAGTCCTTCTAGGGCACAAATTTGAGGCCCTTTGCTAGCTTGGTTACCTCCCTTTGGACCTTCTTCTCCTTATTAATGTCCTTCCTAAAATGTGATGCCCAGAATGAACTAGTAAATCTAGCATCATTTGAGCAGGACAGAGTACAGCAGTGACTATCACATAACTTATTCCTGGAAGCTGTTTTAGTGTAGCTCAGAATTATGTTGTTGTTTTTTTTGGGGGGAGGGTAGGGGGGGAGAATTACCATGTTACACTTTTGTCTCATTGAACATAGGATCCACTTAATATCCCCAAGAGACTATAAAAAGAAGCAGTCAGGCAGGAGACCAGCAGAGAGCAGTATTACAAAAGTTAAGAGAGAACAGTTTCCAGGAGGAAGTGTTAAAAGTAAAGCAATCAAGAAGGATGAGAACTGAGAAAAAGCTGTGAAGTTTAGCAATGGGTTGGTAGTACTCTTGGAGAAAGTGGTTTTAGGCAGGTTGCAAGAGAGTGAGGAAAAAAGTAGGGGATAAGGAAGTCAGGGCAACAAGAGTAGATGACCCTTTCTAAGCATTTGGCTGTGGAAAAAAATGTAGATGGGATAATGGAAGGTTTGCAGGGTCAAGTGAAGGAGAGGACGAAGAGGAGAGAAGGGATTCTTAAAGATGGAAGGTCCTGGAGAAGGGAATGGATGGGATCGAGGTCAGGACAATATCATATGATATTGTCTAAGCTGCATGGGTGGGGAACCGTCAGCCTCCAGGCCACATGTTCCCCACCTCTGGACTCTAAGGTTATATCATGAGGTATAGAGCTGGGAAAAGGAGCTTAAGATAGCTTCTTTCTTTAATGAATTAGGAGAGATCCTCTGAAAGCAGAGGGTCATTTTATAAGGGCTTGAGAAGAGAGTGTGTGGAAAGGCCATGTTGGGCAGGATAAAGTACAGCACTGGGTCCCTCTTGCAATTGTGAACTCTTTTAAAGCTGTCTTCAGATTCATGGCATTTCACCCCAAGCCAGGAGCACTGAGGGCGCTCCCCCATGTGATAAATACTGACATAGTGAAGCATCAAATAGCACAAAATACACAATTGTCTCAAGTTGGCCCTTTTCATGCTCCCTTCCCAGCCTCCTGTAGTTCATCGGTGTTACTGCTTCCATTCCTACCATCATACTGTTCAGGTTGGGGAGGGGAACTCTTTAAGTCCACAAAACCCTCAAAAAGTTGTGAAGCCTCATGCTGTTGTTTTCCCCTCTCTTGGTCATTTTTCCAGTATTCTTTCAAAAACTTCTTACAGAAGTGTTCTCAGGCCACATGTATTTGCACAGATGACAAGAATCGTGGCAGACTTTTGAGAGGTCCCTATGAAGAGGGTTAAGAGTTATGTAGTTCTGTCTTCTTTTATCCTGTTGTTCCATTCTGCCACCCACCCTGCCATGGACATATAACTTCTTTTAAGTCTTTTTTTCCCCCCCTCAATAATAGAGCTTTATTTAGGGACACCACTTTTTTTTTTTTGTCCTTTAACATTCATTGCTACCCTCAGCTCCTGACTGGGACTTTTGAATTTTTTTAGTTGCATGTCTTTGCTTCTCTTGGGGGGGGAGGAATCTTAATTTGGTTGATGAATTCTGTATCTATTCCCCTCTTTCTTCTCATTGTAATTACTTGTCAGAATTTCCTTGAGACCATTTCATTTCTCCTGGGTCAGCTTCCCATATAGAATTGCAGACACTGGGATCCTACCTATTCTTTTTCTGAAATATTGAAGTCTGTTCTAAGTCTGGGATGCACAACAGACTTATGCCCAGATTTCTCCCTTTTTAACTGTCACAAGCTTTAATGAGATTGTTATCATTGGCTTTCCATCACTCTAACTACATAATCTAGCATCTGGTCTTTCAAGATCAGAAGCAAGTCCAGAATAAGTCTCTTCACCTTCTATTACTTCTGTATATTTTTTGAAAAGTGATCATTTAGGCAAGTTTAATGTTTATCAACTGCTTCTGTTGTTAACAGAAAGAATTCCAGCAGATATCCACATAACTGTTATTCTCCATTGCTGTTATAAAGATACCTCAGATTCAGGAAACTAATCTTAAGCTTTATGGGCAGTTCTTTAATACATTTTACCATGATAGCATTTTCATTTCTCCCTGAATTGATTTCTTCCATGCTTCTGGTGTGTGGATTTCTTCCCATTTTCACCTTGAGGCAGCGCTAGTGTAGTGGTTTTGGAGTCAGAATGATGTAACTTAAGTATATACACACCAATTACAATTCTGTTTGAAGAAATTGTGGGTCTTTGGGGTATGCCTATTAAGTGTCCAGTTAAGCTCTGTAATAATATCAAATGAGGAATAAGCCACGCATGCTTATAATAAGACATGCTTGCCAGAGCTTGTCACTTACACTGTCATGGAGGGTGTCCATCACAGAATCTGTTCTTCATAGATGATGCGGTCCTTTGGATGCTCTTATTTGTGGATGTGATGGTCTCCAGAAGACTGCAAACCTTCCTAAGTGGGATCCAGTATAACTCCAGGGTTGAGCCTAGCTATCCACACATACAAGGAACACCCCATAGACCAAGAATGCCTGTTGTCTGTACTGTTAGGCATTTGAATTGATGGCCCATAATGCTGGGCCCTGTATGTGTGTTTGATGGATAGACACTTTAGAAGAACAGAATTAGAGAAGAAAATAGACTGACTTGGATAGGGGGAAATTAACACTGTGCTTTTAATGACCTCTCTGAAACAAAGGCCCATCTTTGTAACATTAATATTCTGGTGATGTGATGTGGCTACCAAGCATGGCAGCATGCCCCAAATCTCCAAAATTCATGTCACCTTGAGGGCATTGGAGAGACATGTAGACACGAGTAAGCTATACCATATTTCCAGTGAAGGACTATGCAGAAGTGGCAACATACAGAGATTCTCCAAGAAACATGTATCAAGAAAGGAAAGTAGGCCAGTCATAATAAGAGGTAGATAATTGGTAGTTTGCCCAGTCTTTATGCTCCATTGGTACCTCATGTTGAGATACAGGAGGTGGCCCCTAGGAGGTAAATCCCTGTAGATTTATGGGAGGACCTGCGTAAGAATGAGAAGATATCATGAGTTGGAATGTGCACTGCTGGAGGGAGCACCCACACTGATCATAGATCCATCAAAGTATGTGCAAGGCACCAGGCTAGGTTGTAAGGATAGAAACAAGTAGCCCTGTCCTCTAGGCACTTGTTTGTGCCTATGTGTGATATGTGATACGTGTAGAAGAATGAGGTAATTTGAGGAGAGAAACATGTTGGTGGAGGCAGAAATGAGGGAATACTTTGTGAAGGTGATACCTAGCTGAATTTTGAAGGAAGGCATGAATTCTGAAAGACAGAAATGGAGAGAAGGAATAAGAGAGAGAGAGCACTGTCTAGGCTTGGGACAGCTTAGACAGGTGCACAGGGGAGAAAAAGGAATGTGGGTATGGAGAACAGCCAAAAAGTAGAATATGTGGAGTAATAGGAAATCTAGAAAGATAGACTGACGCCATAGTCTGGAAGGTTTTAAATGTCAGGTTGAAGCATTTTTATTTCATCCTAAAGTTTGCCCTCCTAGATGTCATTGAAGACTTTTTCAGCCAGGAGAATCATAGTCATAGACTTTTTGCCCTAGGAAGGAATAGGCATGTGTAGAATAGAGGAGGAAGATGATTGATGGAGGTTATCATATTTGCTTTGTTTCTTTTGAATAAGGCCACCTTTAATAATACTTTCTAATTCTCATGAGGTTAAATTTAACTCCTTGAATTGGAATATCTATTTCACATTGTTTATTATACAGACTCTGGGTTGTTGTTGTTTTTTTTTTTTTTTTGGTGAGGCAGTTGGGGTTAAGTGACTTGCCTAGGGTCACACAGCTAATAAGTGTCAAATGTCTGAGACCGGATTTGAACTCAGGTCTTCCTGACTTCAAGGCCGGAGCTCTATCCACTAAGCCACCTAGCTGCCCCCAGACTCTGTTTTTATGTCAATATCTGAGGCTATACATTTTATTGCTACCCTTCTTGGATATTGTTTCCTGTGAATAAGTGCTTCTCTTCTCTATTTTGTGTGTTGTGTCTTTTATTACCTCTGGTATCTGGTTTGGCAGATATATATGTGGGCAGTTTTCTTCTTTATTTTCCATTTAAAGCTTTCTTGATCATATTTGCACATTTTTAAGGCACATTTTTTGCTAGCCTTAATTAGATGTCATTTGTCCCAGGTCAATCTGAAGTGATTATTAGCTGTTAGTTTTGATCTGTCATCACATTCTAGATGCATGCCACAGCAAAACCAGATACCTGCTTATTCATGTCAGGTTACCATGGTTGCCTTGGGATGTTTGGTCAGGGTGTTGCTAACCACAAGAACTAACATCTTCCTAGAGTATCTCCCCAGTGGCACCTTCCTTCCATAGAGCATGGGAAATTGCTTTCTTCACTCAGTATGGACATAGCCATCTATTGATTCAATAATTCCCAGTGTTCATTGGTCCTTTTCCTTGTCTCATTCCTCCCCCTGCTGCAGTTGTGACGTGGGTTGTGATGCCCTTTCGCTTCTTTGTTTCCCCTTTGAAGAGCATTTCCTTTCCCCTTAATACGCTGGAGGATAAAAAAGGTGCCCAGCAGCCTTTCTTCCTTAAGAGGAAGATCATGCCTGCGTTTTTGCCCACACTTAGCCATTAGCTAGCAATGAGAGAAACGAAAGCAACAAACTCCCTGCAGGCCGCGAATCCCTTTAGATCTGTTACTTGTGATATATCAATTAATTGAGTATTGACCTGCTAAAATGTTGTTTTTCTTTATCCTGTTAGTTCTCTCTGTTCAGTTTAGGCAGCGTTCATTTGTCTGTGACTGGATTATCTACCTGGAAGGTTATTATAAATCATTTGTGGCTTCCTAACCTCTGTTGTCAGCTGTCAAGGATTAAACTGGGTATTGTAGCTAGAGAGGAAATAAATGTCTGAGAAAAGTGGACAGCCTTCTGCCAGAAAAAGTAGTGGTTTATGGTATGTGGTCTTGGGGCACTGAGAAGGGCCTTTCCTCTCCTGTCATCAAAAAAACCTTAAAGAAAAACCTAGACTCTTCTGATTCCAGAACCAAGTCTTTCATTCATCCATTTGAAATATGATCTTAAACTGTAAGCCCCTAGAGGGAGGGAACATATTGGCTTCTGTTCATACTGAGAAATGAATGACTGGTATAAAATTCTTTATTGAGCAATCTCTGATAAAGAATGAGTAGAGAGATTCCGTGAAGGCCTCAGTGAGCCCCTGGGTCTGGATAGGATTGGATAAAAAACAGGGCCCTTTGGGAGTAACAGTAGCTTATCCTTATATAGCACTTAGAAGCTTAATTTCCTCACGACCACTCTGTGAGGGAGACAAACGTATCAGCCTCATCTTCAGACATTTGAAGAGGTGGGCTCAGAATGGTTTAGTAACTTGTCTCTGAAATGGTTGGTAAATAACCAGGCAAGAATGAAACCGAAGTCTTCTTACTGCAAGTCCATTGCTTTCTACCACACCACACCGCTTCTGCAGAAGACCCAACAAAGGAGAAGTCAGAGCAACAAAGACAAACTGGGCTTTTTGGACGACACTCTTAGGCCTTTGTGTTTTACTGCTTAACTGACTAAATCAGTGTTACCTACTGCATTTCAAAGCCAAGTATAAATTTTGGATAGGCATTATGTTTTATCAGTACTATTTCCTCCTCTGTTGGTGTGAATGGTTTATAGTTAACACTATTAAGGTTATCTACTTGATGAATTGGGGAAAGAATGATCTCCAAGTTGAGTAGTAAAGAATTACTTTTAAACAATTTGCATTTTTGAAGCATTTTATAATTTACTAAATTATGTCTTATAATATATACATATGTGTATATATTATATCTATTATAGTACACATACTATATCTCTATAATATATATTATGTGTCTATAGATGTATAGTTAGACTTATCTATATAAATGAAACTTTTAAATTTTTAAAACTTTGTTCACTTGAAAAACTGAGCTATTTCAGATAGGAATTTCTTCTGATTAGACTTATGGCTCTAATATAATTTGATCTGGTTTTAAAACTAATATATATAAAACTTATGAGATAATTTGTCTGTTTCCCTTTAGGGCTTTAGATGCAGCAAGACACTATGGTTATTCAGTGGAGTTTACTGGATTAGGGGAACCACCACCTGGAGCTGAGGCTGTTGGGTTCTGTACTCAGATAGGGGTCTTTGTGAAAACTATACCAAACACTGTTAAATCTCTACACGATGAAAAAACTATAGAATGTGCTCATACAACAGTAAGTATTTCTTAGACTCTTAGGATGAAATGCAAACTTACTAATGATCTTTGCAGGAGAAAGTAAAAGACTAAGAGACTTGCAAAATTAGGAGTTATTTTCTCAACTCAGCAATAGAGAATAATTTTCTCAACTGCTTATTTGATAAAAAAGTTGAGTCTCTGGTTAGCACTAGAAAAGATGGCTGGGATGTTGCTGTGTTTAGGGTGTATCATTTGCCTGACACCTGAATCAGAAGTTGGTGCCTTTGCTAACCAGTGCAGGGAATGGTAAAGCAAGCTAGGGAAGCTGAGAAAACTGTTACAATGACTTACTATGACCCCATGGTTCTACAGTGCTGGCCTATTGATTGTAAAATTAGCCAGCAGTTAATAAACAAACATTTATGAAGTGCCTGCTGTGTGCCAGGCTCCCTGTACTAGGACCTGATGATACAAAGACAAAAAAAGAACTTGTATTCTATCAGGGGAGACAGTATGTACATACATATGTAATTGAAAGAGGAAGATGGTTGAGGCAATGCAGTAGCCCAAGATGGTTGAGGCAATGCAGTAGCCCAAGCAGGTGGTGAAAAGGACCTCAGAAATTTGTGTGAGTAAATAGAAGGGAAGGGATATGAGAGAGAGGTTGTGAAGGTAGAATGGCAAGCCTTGGCAACTGATTGGATTGGGGGTTGGAGAGTCGGAAAAATGAAGATTGTGAATCTTAGATGACTAGAAACATGACAGTACCCTCAAAATAGGGAAGCTGGAGGGAGAGACAGGTTTAAAAGTAAAACAGTGAATTCTTTTTTATACATGTTGAGTTTGAGATGTCTTTGGGACATTCAGATATAGTTACCCAGCAATCATTTGGTACTGTGGGACTGCTGGGATTCAGATTAGAGTTAGATAACTGGATTTGGGCATCAGCTGCATGAAGAAAACTGAACAGATGGGAGTAGATGAGCTCACAAAAAGGGCACAGGGAAGAGAGACCAGGACAGGGCCTTGGGGATACTTCCATGTAGGGGGCTGAATATGCATAATTCAGCAAAGTAAACTGAGGCCTGGTTAGATCAGGAGAGAGCAGTGTCGAAAATTGAGGGAGAAGAGAATACCCACGAGGAGGTCATCAGCAGGGTCAAAGGCCACAGACAGGCCAAGGAGAAGGAAGCCTGAGGATAGGCCATGGGATTTAGCCCTTCAGAAATGGTTGGCCAGGGAGAAAGGCTGAGAACCAGATCTGAGTGGAGGTGAGAAGTGAATGCAGAGTATCCACGGCTATGCTTGTTTCACTACTGTTTAAAAATTATTTGTAATAAACTGTTAGTTTGTTTTGATAATTTGCATTTAGGTGAATATTGGTTAATTCTCTGTTCTGCTTTTCTTTGAATTATTTCATGAAAGTTCATTTAGAATTCTTTCTATTGCTCATACTTGTTCAGCTTAATTGTAGTAGGCATGGAAGTGTTAAAGTGGAGATGGTGCTGGGTTGGGAGTCAGGATGAGTCCTGCCTCCCTAGCTGTGTGATCCCAGGAAAGTCGCCCTCTCGTAGCCTTCAGTTTATGTCTGAGATGGGAATACTTACTTCACAGCTTTCATTATTATTATTATGAATTATATATGTGAAGACAAAATAAGAATATAAAACACTACAAATCTACAAAACACTATAAATGTTAGTATTCAGTTACATCAGTGAGCCATGGTTTATTTAGTCCCTCCTGTTGGGCATGTAGGTTTTGGCCAGTCTTTAGAAGTTACAAATATTGCTGTGGGAATCTTTGAACAAGAGGGTGCTTGTTGATAAAACTTCTGGGGTATATTCCTAACAGTGGAATTACTGGGTCCAAGGCAGCTATTCATTTTTCTTGATATCTTCACTACCTAGACTTGGTTGAGTGATCTCATGTTTTTGATAAAAACCTTTCTGGAAGGTTGACACTTTAAAGCCATTGCTTCTGCATGTACAAAATGTACATAAAAAAGAATGTGACTTGTTCCCACAGGTGTCAGCGTAAAAAGTATCATGAAGAAGATATCCTTTCTTTTCCCATTCCTTCCTAATAGACCTTAAAAATTAAATGAGTCTTTAAATTTAGTTAGCAGTTGGCTTGATTGGATTATTCCAGATATAATATCAATTTGTACCATATAAATTAATTTCTCATTTTAGAATTTCTAGAAATTAGAATATAGTTCATTGAAGGCAGGGCCTGTCAGTTTTGGTTTTTGCATTTGGTTTGTGAGTTTTGTTTTTTGTTTTGGTATCCTCTATACTATCTTTTTAGCCTTACTTATTATATGTTACTCCCCTAACACTAGGTTCCAGCCCACCTGCCTTATTACGTTCTAGTTCATCTTCATGCCTTTGCTTGGGCTGTCGTCCATACTGGGAATATGTTCCCTCTTCATCTGATTTCTCAGAATTCTGAGCTTCCTTCAAGTTTCAGATGAGGTGCAACCTCCCACACTGGCTCTCTCTTATCTCCACACTTGCTAGTGCTTCACTCTCACAAAATTAATACTTTGTCTATTTTATATTCCACTTACGCGCTCTCATTCTCTTCCTCCTCTCTCCCCCCAGTAGAATGTAAGCTCCTTGAGAGCGCACAGACTCTCTTAATTTTTGTCTTTATATCCCAAGTGCCTTTCAGTCCACATAGTAAAGCACGATATAAATGAATTATGGGTGCTAATAAATATTTGTTGAAATTAGAATTAAATAGCCCTCTTAAACTTCTTGTGATGTCCTTCAGGAGACTGAGATTCAACTAATAATTTTACTTTTCTTCCCCCATCTCCCTACAGAGTACAGTCATTTTGTAGCGTGGTCTTGCGTAGATTTTTTTTTTTTCTGGATCTGTGTGTGTGTGCGTGCGCGTGCATACTTAACATCTTTTGTGTTTCAGAATAGTAACTGAAATTTTCTTCTACCCCATCCAGGTTGGTACAGTGATATATCCAAGCCTGAAGGAAGAAAAGTACCTTCGGAAGGCAGTATCCAACGAAGTTTTTTCTCAAATCTTAAAAATGAAGAGAGTTCTACTGGAGAGTCTCAAGATGAAGAATGACAATGATAATAGTGATGAGCTTGAATTTGTCAAGCCTAAATGTGATGAGTCCAAAAATGACCCCACTGAGGAGATCCCCAAGCCATTCTGTATTGAAAATGTATTTTATGTACCCCTGGAAAGGCTTTTCTCTTTCCCCAAAATAAAACACCTATGTGGTGACCTTGAGACGTTAAAAATGCTAATTGCCAATGAAGTAATGCTAAGCAGTGATGGTTCTTCTGTCATGATTAACACTGTCGATGAAGAGGACTGTGATTTGAGTGACAATGATGGGGATGACTTACGATTTGTTTGACTACAGTGGGGAGAAGCATAATGGTGGTGGCTCTGATGGGACTTGCCTATGATGGGGATGACCACAAAGATCACTGCCAAGTCATCGTTGTTTTCACAAATTCAGGGAATTAAACTTCTTGATGGGCTCTGCTGGTTTTTTTTTCTTGTAGGAATCTTAGGACAGTTTTATTAGTTTGAGGTTTGGGGTTAAATTTAAATTACTGATGTTGTAAACAAGTGGTGCCAACCTGAAATAGAAATGGGGCCACTATACCATTCCTAAAGATCCTTAGGGGCTACATATTGACTCAGAAAAAACCACATTACCATTATGTATGTTCTGTTGTATTTTTATTTTGTTATAAATGTCCTAGTGATATTCTAATCTAATTGTTGGTTTGACACAGCTGGTTCAAACTCCTGGACTCCCTTAGGCCGACTCTCCTTACCAGAAACACCTGAGCAGAACTACCTACACCTTCAGATCGCAGAGCTAGATTATGCCCTTCTGTGCTAAGCATTAATGGCAAAAAAAAAATGTTCCTAGTGAGAGAGACATGTTTTCATTGGAACTCTCGGGGTAGATGTTATTTACCCCATGCCAAGGTGATTTGGCAACTCTGCTGGAGGATTTGTCAGCAGCTTCTCTGGCTTGCCTTTTTGTCCCACCTGGGCCTGCAAAAGCCTGCTCAGTTTCCCCTTTTTGTTTTGTCTTCTCTGGAGCTTAAGAGAATCCTGCTCTGGAGTTCTAAAATGGCCTTGCATAGATTGTAAGACAGTGCTGTTGATAGTGGAAGCTGAGGAAAAAACTGGGGGAGATGAGTGAACAGGGAATTATGGGTTCAGGAAGTAGGAAACAAGAACAGGAGGGTGCAGTGTTGTATATGAGGGAGGAGGAAATGTTAGGCCGTCAGCGACTCAAAGACTAATGGCTAATGTGAGATGAATATCAAAGTGAACATTCTTGTAAAAGGAGTCCAGCTTCAGAATGGGGCATTTTTCCTCAGTACCTTCTTTTCTTCCTGTACTCTCCACCTTTAAAAAGCTTTCATCTTTTTACTGCCAGGCATCCTGTTGTATCTCCTTATTTTCTTACATTTGTGTTCTTGTAACACAACATTAATATTGAAAAGAGATAGGACCTGTGACCTTGTTGAAGAGAAAACGCCCTCTTTCAACTGCCCAGAGTACAACTTCACTTGTCCATGTCAGACCTGAGAGTCAAATCCAGGCCTTCCTAGCTTCAAGGCCATTTCTAATCATTCAACCACACTGTCTTTGCATCAATTACATAAGGGATTCCTTCACTTCCTATTATCTCACAGCTCCCTGATATTAGCTGTTGACTCTGAACATTTGCTTTATGCACCCTGACTCTGGATTGCAGGCATAGAAACAAATCTGATGTGCAGAAATCAGACTCTCCAGTGTCGGACAAAAACCAAAAACAGCCAGATGGGACAGTTCAGATGGGAAAGTCAGGCTTGTGTTGTAGGAAAAATCTTCATGCTTTTATTAAAATGTAAAATGACTTGAGTATACCTGCTTAGTCAGGAAAGTAATACTTAAATTGACTTAGAAAAAAGAATCACATGTAGGCAATTTGGGAAAAGTGGAAACCAAAACTATCACCTAGGACTCTATGAGCAGGTTCCTCAAGAATCCTAGAAGCTTCAGCTGCTTAAGATTTCACAAAGATTCTGAGCTGAAAAGTAACTTGGAACACATCTAGTTCAGTCTGCGCCTAACAAAAATATTACCACCACAACAGATTTTTAATCCCAGTGAACAGAGCCCCAACTCCCGAGGGAGCCCATTCTACTTCTGTACCTCTCTGACTGTTGGAAGTTTTCTGCATAGCAAGACTATTTTCTTTCTATTTCTTGTGGTATTGTCCTCTGGTACCAACTAGAACCAGTAATTCAACTGAAATAATGCAAGGCTTGTGCTGAGGATATAAAGTCTGTCATCTAGGCGCTTAAGGTCTTTTAGGGAGTACCGTTTGTAAATATAAGTAAGATAATTGGAGAAGGGACATAACACTAATTAGAGAGGGGAGGGAAATCAGGAAAGATTACCTATATGACTGGCTCATAAATTCATCTTGAAAAGCTAAGGATTCTAAGAGGCTGATGCATTCCAGGTATGTAGGACAGCCTGCTCAAAGGACCACGGGGACAGTGGGAAGGCCAGTTTAGCTATAGCAAGGTGGCACAGTGACTAGAGCGCTGGGCCTGGAGTCAGAAAATTTCATCTTCGTAAGTTCAAATCTGCCCTCAGACTCTAGCTGTGTAACCCTGGGCAAGACACTGAACTGTCTCACTTTCCTCATCTGTAAAATGAGTTGGAGAAGGAAATTGCAAACCACTCCAGTATCTTTTTTTTTTTTTGCAAGTAGAGGAGTTTATTTTTTTAATAATAAATTTATTTTTAGTTTTCAACATTCACTTTTATAAGATTTTGGGTTCTAAATTTCCCCCCTTCCCAAGATGGCATGCAATCTGATATAGGTTATACACATATGATTATATTAAACATTTCCACATTAGTCATGTTGTGAAAGAAGAATCAGAACAAAAGGGAAAAACCATGAGAAAGAAAAAAGCAACAAAAAAGAAAATGGTATGCTTTGATCTGCATTCAGATTCTGTAGTTCTTTGGATGTGGATAGCATTTTTCATCACGAGTCTTTTGGAATTGTCTTACATCAATAATTTTATAAGATTTTGGGTTCTAAATTTCCCCCCCCCCCAAGATGACATGCAATCTGATATCCTGGAAACTACAACCTGACTTGTTAAACTCCCAAGTCAGTACCACAGAGACAAACTTTCTTAAGTTATAGCCATGTTTAGGTCTTCCCCCTAAAAGTACACAATCTGTAATGTGAATCAGATGTAGGACAGGTGATTTGTTCTTACACACAAAGGAAATGTGAAGCACAGAAGAGCAGACATTAACAGAATGACAAACTAGGCAGAATAACAACTTACAGCTACTTTACAAATCTGGGTGGCAGATACTTAAACCTCTTAAGATCATAAAGTTGTCCATGATACCACTATTTTCATTAACTTTAACTCTGTGCTGTCAAAACAACTCCAGGTACCTGTTTTATTTTTTTCAGGCCATTTGGGTAACAGGGTAACACAGCTAAGTGTCTGAGGCCAGATTTGAACTCAGGTCCTCCTGACTGCAGGGCTGGTGCTCTAAACATCGTGCCACCTAGTTGCCCCAAGGTACCTGTTTTCTACTGAAAATGGTGGTGACCATTCTCTTCAAGAACTCTGGAATAATTGCTGGACGCTCCTGCCCTGCTGCTATTTTGCTCCAACCTGATCAGACCTACAGACCTTTTGAACTCACAAGATCACTTCTATTTATGGACATACACATGTAGGGATAGATACTCATTTGTCTAGGCTCAGAAATGGTCAAACAAAAAAATGGCAGCCCTAAACTGGGCTTGGGCTTGAGATGCTCTGTGCTCACTGATTGTGAAGGCTAGAGGAGATTCAGCCAGTTGACCTTCCACATCCCTCTGCAACCCTCTCAGAAGGCAGCATGAAATAGTTCTGTCAATGAGGAAGTCTGCAACTCTCTCTAGGTGGGAAGTGGGGGGGCAGGGGAATAGGGAGGTGTAAGGAAAACTGAGGAGGATAGATCCTCCCCAGCCCCTGTGTAAACATTTCACGACCTGACATAAAGATAAATTGGAGTTACCATGCATGGCTGGAGGTGACCATGGAAACAGAACATTAAATAACCAACAAGCTATGTTACCTGGGAAAGCAAGTTATCTCAAGGTACATTTTTCTTGAGAAAGGTGTGTAACTGTCCAAGGAATTGATCACTCCTTGGAGACTTAACAAACAGATATTTTGGGGCCCTGATCAAGCCCCAACCTTTGTTAAAGATGTGTGCGTACCTGACCTGAGCTCGCCAAGGATATGTACACAAAACAAAATATTAAGATTGCTTTTCCCTGGTTTACGTGGATATAAAAGGGGTCATTTGGAAGGGGAGTTTTGGAGACTTTGATGTCAGAGATAGGGACGCCGAGTCTCCGTTGTGTTCAGAAGCGGATGGCGTGCACGGCTTCTGTTGAGTCAGAGCAGGACGCCGCTCTGTTGGCCTCCCTGACCAGTCCTCTTGGCCATTCTTCAGTCTCCCTCATCTATTAGGTATTTGAGCTTGCCTGCTCAGTGAGTGTGTATCCTTTCTTATTCCCCCTTTTCTTTATTTCAATTATTATTATATTGAATGTTTTTCTCATCTTTGTGTTCTTCTTTAATCATTATTAATCATTATAAAATAAATGTGATTTTTTGTTAAGTTTATACTGAGTACGTGTCATTATATCTTGAGATCCAAACCTAAATTGAATCTGTGCACTAAGTAATCCTTTTGATTACAGGAGGCAAGACAATGGAGGGCCAGGAGCAGAGAATTGGGAGATTGGGTGTAGGTAGGAACAGCCAGTTGATAGGATCATACTGATGGGGTGCTTGGGTGGTTGTACCGGGACCCCAATTCCATGACCATGTCTCTCCCTAGCCTCAGAAACACCATCCCTGGCAGTTTCTCCCCAGCCCAAGGACACTGTGCCTAGCAATTACTCATGAGTGGGCCCCAGCAAGACCTTTATCTCTCTCCCTGGTGCAGTTACAAATAGCACCTGAAGGACTTATTAGTTTGAACTGGCTTTGCATTGGGTTATAAAGATATTCTTACCCACTGGATTATCTATACTATCACTCTACCTCATTACCTACATCCTGGACTCCTCATTATCTGTATTCTATACCTAAGACATATGTATACTCCCTACAACTATCTTGTCAAACAAGACATTGACTGGTGAAAGACTGGACAACTCTCAGTTACCCCTGACCTCTAGTTAACTAAGTGACATAGCAGGCCTAAAACCAAACCTCCATGTGGCCCCCCCTTGTGGGCTTTTCCTAGTGAACTCTGGGTAAAACGCCTGCGCAGCAGATAGAAAAAGTGCACGTTCCTTTAAGAACTGAATACTCTCTGACCACTCCCCTAATCCGGCCCTGAATCACCTAGTTAGCATATTTGGCACATGTTTCATTATATTTTATTCTATATAAACTTTAACTATACCCCTCTAAGGTTGCAGGGTTCCTTAAAATCTTTGCCCGCTCTAAAGTGTAACAATAAACTTTTTGCCAACTTGACTTAAAGATTGCTCGAGTTTGTGAATTCATTCTAGATGATGCCATCCTGTATTCTGGTCTTGGAGGGGTCCCAACCTCTCAGACCTCAACAATACCTTTGGGCATAGGTGATAAGGAAAGGCCAGCTGATGGGATTATACCTTCAGAGGCTTCCTTGATCAAGTAAGAGAATTCAAGGACAGTCCAAGGGCTTTCTAGGACCTGTAGACAAATGGGGCCCAAATTGGGACAAAGGTCTGGGCTTGGGCCCGTACCTCATCAAGACCTAATACCTTCTCAAGGGTTACTTCCTCAGCTCTCACTCACACTGGTAGCTGGGATAGGTCTCCAAAGGTCAACTGACTACTATATTCTTCAGGATGTTAGGGGTAATCCTGAGGGATTAGGATTTACTATAGCTCACAAACTCCCATCCAGTATACTCCACACTGATCAACCAGACTTCGAGAAAAGGTATTTCAGTATTTACTAAGCAGATATAAGAAGGATAATTGTTACAAAAAGCATCCACCTGAACCATGGGCACACTCTCCTCTTGGAGAAAGGTGGTTTACCTTTCTTGTAGGACTCCACAAATGCATTGACTCTGAGAGGTAGGCTGACAGCTACACCTGTGCAAAGCTTTATGAGGATTCCACAAAGGAGAAAAGCACTCACAGTAACGAGGAACTTTGGCCACACGAGTCCTTTAAAAATTCCCCCTTTCCTCTTGTAGAGTACTGAAGCTGCATTTCCTCAATATATCTGGTTTGTCCTCAGTCTAACCTTCAGCTCCTGAAGCAGATGGTGCCATCTGCCACTCTTAACATCTGTGGGAATTCTGGATCTGACCTTCCAAATTTCACAAGGTTGTCATGTCACCTGGTCAAGGGCAGGTGAGGAAGGAAGAGGGAGAGGAGGAAGCACATTCCTCTATACTTTCTTCCCCCTTTCCCCTCCTCCCAGGGCAATTCCTTCTCAGAAGTTCTTAACTATTGGATTCTACCACCATTCACTGACCTGCAGTTGCAAATGCATCATTTTAAACTGGCTTGTATAACACATAAGCCCAGTGATGTCTTACTTCAGCCAAATCATAGCATATTTCCTGTGTTGTATCGTGTCTTCATCCAATGATCAGAACACTTTAGTCTTCCTGAAGTAATTGCCTGCTCCTTTGATTTTGATTCGATCTGAAAAGTCTGGGTCTCCTGTTTGCATTAACTGGGGAGGGAGCTACACTTTACTGTATTCCACTGGTCTGCTTAAAAAAAAATACACATGTATATGTGGTGAAGTTTTTGGCCTTTTTCTCAGTCAACATGCTGGGTCAAGTAAGTAGAATCAGGAGAACAATACACAAAAATGCCAAAAGGAAATTGAACTATGGTGAATTGTAAGGACAAATATCTACCCTCTAGAACAGATGGTAAAAGACACGTCTCTAAGGACAGAGATGGGACTCAGCCACATCCAGTGACTAGATGCAATGCTGCACACACTCCACATATTTGGAATAATAAATGGTCATTTTGTAGGTCATTTGAATAATAGTTTTTCCACTACAATGGAAATTTCAATGAAGCTGTTAAATGGAAGCGTAATTAGCTCTGTCTGCTTAACTCCACAGCACAAAATTAGGAACAAGTGGTAAAAATTGTAGATGCAAGTTTTGTTTTAATGTGAGGAAACGTTTCCTTAGAAGCAGACTTGTTCTAAAGTGAAATGGGCTGCTTTGAAAGGTAGTGGGATCTCCTTCCCTAAACTTCTTCCAGTGGAGAGTGAAGATTAGGGGTGTTGTAAAATGGATTGCTCTTCAGTTGTGGCTTCCATTAAATGAACTTTGAGGTCCCTTCCAACCTTGAGGTTCTTTGGTTTCTTTTACCTTTAATGTCTTAGTTTTCTAGATTTTTAAATGCACAGGAACAGGAAAGACTGCCTTCTGAATCCCACCCAATACTCTACTTCTCTCTGCTAAACACGTAAGGGTGGCCAATTCTTGATTATCTATATTTAACAGAAGTGCCTGAAGGGGCCAGGGCACATTCTCAGGCCTGACCCATGTTCTTGCACCTATATGCCATGTGCCATGTGCACACAGTCACCATTGCTATCTGAAGAGAGGGCACAGAAATCCCTTTCCCTCCACTGGAACTCCAAAGAAAGGAAATCTGACATTGGATGAGTTCTCACAAAGAAGCCACTTGAAAGACACTGGAAGCTGTCTCTCAGGCTTGTAACTCACTGAATGGGCAGTTCTCCCTGCCTCTTTTTTCAGTTTTCTTGGATACACACCCAGTTACAGGGATAAACAACAAACAATTAGGAGGTGCTGGTCACCCATGTCCTCTAGCAAGGGGGCAGAATTTCTAGCTCACTGGAAGAGGTCAATGTGCTTGCTCTACCCCATCACCAGCCAAGAGCACAACCCCATTATCTCAGATAATAGGTGTTCCCCACCTCTGGATAATCCATCAACAAATTGTGGCAAAGAGAAACATGTCCAGGGCATGGACAGGATACTGACCCAACAAGAAAACAGAGAAAGCCAATTCTGGTGCATACTTAGGAGGGATCCTGAACTGATTATCTAATAGCAATGAGAAAAATAGGCCTGGAAACATACCAATCCATATGGATCCCTGATCAAGGCTCTTAACCCTTTAGTGCTTTAGACAGCTAAAGATGCTGAATGCATTATAGCAGTTCTCTCATCTAGGAGTTCCCTATGAGAGGACAGGTCCATCCAGTACCTATCCCTATGAATAAAATCAGGTGAGATGATCTGGAGAAGGCTAGAGTATAGAACTGAAGAAGTAAAATGATATTGGTGACAACTACTCTCTATACATTTTCTCCAATGGAATACAAGGAAAGCTCTAGGAAGGAAGACATAGCTTGATCTTCTATAAATTTAGACTCCTTCATTTCCCAATTTTCAGAGGTAAAGGGGGAACATCTCCCACTCTTTCTATTTATATTAACATACCCAAACTTTAAGACATGATTTTTATTGAACATTTGTAAGACTCACTTTTACATTATTACAAATACTTTACAATAAAAAAAAACAGCTGTTAAAAAAAAAGAGGGACATTTTCCTGGATTTATCATCATACAGTTCAAGCAAAAAAATATTATTATCTAAATATGAAGGTCATTTTCCAAGTATCCAAGCAGAATACTTATGGACTCACTTCATCAAAATACACTACACACATATCTATAGATACTTATTGATAAATATTTTCACAATTAACCAATAAAGCACATCTACCTCTTTGGGTTTGTCTGTGTTTCTTTCCACAGACTGAATCAACCTTCAAGAGGATGGGAATATTGCCTGTATTCATTTCCAAAGAACAAATGGAATATTCAAATGGAATAGCTACAAAGTGCCCTGCTCACATAAAATTCCACCAATATTTACTGGCAAGATATTTCTGGGTTTTTATAATGGAAGGTAACCACAGAAGTCTGGAAACAAAGCATACATTTCCCACAGAATTTAAAGCCTTTGCCAGTCTTGCTCTCTAGGGAAACTGGCTGAAGACCAGCCAAATATCTGCTTCATGCTCGTTGTATCATCTGATGTGGGAAGATCTCATACATTAGGGGATTTTCCTGGAGTGGTCTTTTAGGGTAGGTTTACTATATGTCCATTTTATTAGTGCATTTTAAAAGATTTAATGGAAGGTACAAACAGGTTGGTACTCGAAAACTTTTTTGGACACAGTGTGTCAGGTCTGAGAGTAAGAGACTGAGAATTTCTCGTTATGAATTAACACTTAATAATTTTGTTAACCGAATAAACAAAAATTAACATTGAATAAAGGTGCTGCTTCTTCCCATACTAAGCTATTGAGTTATGCACAGTATCTCATAAACATGAGGGCAGAAGAAAAACAAATTAGTGACTCTTTCCACACAAACCACCATCCCTTGGAAGAGTACTGGACACACTCATTATTCCTTGATGGCAAAGGAACAATCATTAGATGTTATAAAGATCGTGCCAGACTTTGTCAGAAGGAGATGAACTCCAACAGTGTCTCATAACTGAGAGCAATATTACTGTATCCTAGAGGCCTCGTACTTCAGAGTGCTATTACATAATCAGAACTACTTAAAAGCTTTTTCGGCTAGCCAGTAAGAACACCGATACACTAAATTGTTCCATACCTTACCAGCTTTGAACACAGTTGTACCAAGTTTCACAACTGAGGAAATTCAAAATGGATATTAGAATCCCAGACCTCAGAGTTAAAGGCCATCTTGTGCAGTCCTTTCATTTTACAGACAACCTGATATCCAGAGAGGAGAGGTGACTTGCAAGGCCAGGACTAAAAATCCACGCCCCCCCGACTCCCATTCCATTTTACTAACACCAGACTGACTCAGTTGTTTATAATTACATCTGGATTATTTCACAGATTATTTGGAAGATATTCATTGCTATCTCATTTGAGTATCTTTCCATTGGAGGCTGGTGGGATATTTACTACTTTTAAGCTACTACTAGGTTAAATTTATGGGCTCCTGCGTGTTCTGGGAGCCAGAGGATGTGGGTTTGAATCCAGGCTCAGATACTGTGTGACCTTGGCTATGTCACCTCTTGGGCCTCAGCTTCTTCATCTATAAAATGAAATAACTGAACTCTAAGGTTCCTGCCAACGCCACATAAAAGCCAAGCCATTATTAGAGGAAAACAGCTTGGTTATTAACATTATTGTTGGCCTGTCACTGGAATGAGATAAAATGACAGGCTTCAAGGTTTGGGGTCTATATTGTCCTGCTAAAATGTCTGTCAGATTAAAAAGAGTAATTCATGTGTTCCTTCAGATCTTTTCTGATTTGGGGGAACCATGCTTAGCCTTGTGAAAATGGACACTTTGATTGACCTCTACTGACACACTACTCTGAAAGATACCATTTGTTTTTTCCTTCATCTTTACTAATGTCTTTCTCTGATATTCTGAAATATACTTATATTCCTTAAGAATATATTAATACGGGGCAGCTAGGTGGCGCAGTGGATAGAGCACCAGCCCTAGGGTCAGGAGGACCTGAGTTCAAATCCTATGTCAGACCAGACATTTGACACTTACTAGCTGTGTGACCCTGGGCAAGTCACTTAACCCCAACTGCCTGGCAGGGAAAAAAAAAAAGAGAGAATATATTAATACCCTTCTTTGGGGCAGGATCAGAAAAAAAAGTTTCCTCTTTCAGATTTCTAAAACTTCTTTGGTTCTAAGTATTTGAAATTTGTTTTTTAATGTCTAAAAAAATCTATTAAAACTGCAACTAATTTTTAGAACTAGACCTTCTAAATGTAAATCAGAATAAAAATTAGACTTGTGGCTTCAAATATACTTGATGACTACTGTGATGCTCTGAGGCAACTGGAAAAGGAATGCAGATGTTTAATCAGACATTAAATAATACAAAACTTGCAGCAAGACTAGAAAATTTTTTTTTCCATGAATGCAATACTAATGGAACATGAAAGAGAAATAAAATGATGTTACAGGCTCTCATTGAATTCAGATCCTAAAGGCACTTACTTACAAGTGCTTTTTTCCTCTCCAAATTAACGTCTATTTTCATTAAAACATTTTCCAACTTTATATTGGACAATTCCAAGATCAAGATTTACTGCTAGCTGTTGGATTTTAAAAATAAAGATACGATTTTTAGTTTTCCCATTTCTTTCCACACTTTATTATTATTTTAAACTAGTATTGCACTCTGGAAATACATTCTGGCTCTCATCTTCATACAACCAAGCCAACGGATATAACTCCAATAAAAATATAACCTAGAAACAGTATTTGGGCAATAGAAAAATATGTTTTTCAATGTTATGCCATTAAGAAATTGCTCTTTTTAAATGATACTTTTGGTTCTCTATTAAAATTATCTTTTATTTTCTTTTTTACAATGATTTCTATAATATACGGGATAGTCTATATTCTGTGTTTGCAAATAACTTTTTAAAATAAGTTTTTCTCATTAATTCTCAATGATTGCTTCTCCAAAAGAATTTCTAAATAATGTTTCAGGAAACTCAAACCCTAGTCATTCTAAGTATTCTTCAACAAATATTACTTTCTCTTTATTTTTAATCTACATTGGTAGGGAGAATATTTATTCCAAGAGTTTCCTAAACTAATGAAATTACAAACCTAGTTCCACCTGCCCCCCTTCCAAAACAAAACAAAAAAACCTACAAAACGCAGCCCAGGCCCTATACTTAAAAATAGCATTGGGCCAAAGTATCATGAAGCAACTGTCGAATGCACGTATGAACAATGGAATACCAGAAAAAAAAAACAGTTAAGCCCAACATTTGCTGTGATAACTGCTTCAAACCTCTAAATACTAGGTTAAAAATAAAACTTGAATATTAAAAATAGTTCTCATTTAAATAAATTCTATAATTGTTCCTTAATTTAGTCTAAATGAAAATATTTTTGCCAAAAAATTCTATTTGCAGACATTTTGATTCAATGCCTTACTTGGACACAGCGTGTCAGGTCTGAGAGTTAAGGGGCTAGGAATTATTCATCAGGAATTAATATTTTGTTACAGTGATTAAATGATCCAGAATGGAAAAGGTGAAGTTCTTTCACAGGTATACTGCAGTGTCGACGGTTCCCCCCTTCCCCGCCCCCTGCCAATTAGAAATGACTCATTCCATAGATAAGTGGAAGTAGGCTACCCAGGCTCTGTATTTTCTGATGTTGTTTTTGCTTATCCTCCTTTTCTCAAGGCACCTTTGGGCATGGTTAAGGGAAAAACTTAGTACCTGACCACAGAGGGCAGACAGAAGAAACAAATCCACATCATCAATGCCAAGCAGCAATTTGTCTGCTCTGCTCTATCCCATGTCGTATTGGATTCATTCTCCAGGCTCACACAGATTTGAGCTTTTGTGCCAAAGGCCACCCTGGTTCCACTGAGATGACAATTTTACTTTTAGTCCTCTGAGATTTTGCACCTAAAAACAATACATTCCATCATTCTGTGAGTTAAATGAACTCCTAGCTGGGACAAGGTGACTTCTGGTGACCTAATATATTGGACGTTAAACTTAAAAGCTTACTTGGAAACATTTCCAGAGTGACAGTGCCCATAGTTTTTCCATATCTATTAGCAAATAGGAGCAATACTGTGTATGAGAATTCTCTTTGATGAGGCTAATCCCACTCACTCAATCTTAACTTTTATGTACCTGTTTTTGGGCACTGCAGGTGAATTCATGTTTGACAAATTTAGAACCAATAAATGCTTTGTATATTTAGATCAGAGAGAAGCATTTTCCCTAAGAGCATAAATCCATATTTTAAATTAAGTAATGCCTGGAAAAGGGATGTCAATTTGGTAGCGATATTTTAGGTAGTATATAGGAAGAACTCCTTGAAAAAAACTATTAATATAAGAAGAATTTATAAATTTGGATTCCAACAGTTAAAAAAAAGGACTTTCTCCTTAAAGCCAAATTCCAAACATATTAATTATCACTGATTGTGAATACAGAAATGACACTTATATTTTAATATATATATTAATAGCATCTCTTTTCCTTTCCAAGACAGGATAAAACTTTTCTAAGTAGAAAGCAAATATTTCACTAATACGTACATTTGCAACTTATGCCCACATATGGCCCTCACTGTGTAATGATGACTTGTACTACCATGCTGAAGTGTCCTGTCATGGAACAAGAGGCACTTTGAGATGAACAAGACAAACCAATGTTCATTTTCTTTTTTCACAGAAGAAACCATTTGATCTTCTCCTGTGCACTTTCTCACAAGAGTTTGAGAAAAGGGACCTTATCAGCATCTGAGATCCACAGGAAAATGCTGCGTTAGCGTTTTATAACGACTTGTTCATACGCGCCAGATCCCACTCTGAAACAACAATACAGAAACAAGGTTTTAAATCTAGAGCCCAAAATTTGGGATTTCATCAGGGAACTGTGGTTAAATAATCAAGGAATTTTGTCAGGGAATAATGGTTAAAACCAAACGAACAACTCCCTATTACCTGCATTTTAGGATGACCCTAAGTTAGGCCAGTCCCCTAGCAGTTTAGGTTTGATGCTAGAACAAAACTTTAAACACTTTAAAGTCATTCAATAGTTAAAGGAAGGAAGGAAGAAAGGAAGAAAGGAAGAAAGGAAGAAAGAAAGAAAGAAAGAAAGAAAGAAAGAAAGAAAGAAAGAAAGAGAAAGAAAGAAAGAAAGAAAGAAAGAAAAATTCCCTTAACCATAGCAGGAGAAAGATATTTAACAAGGATAGACAGTAAAGTCACCTTGAGTTGATTCAGTCACCCATTGTAATCCCCCAGCCAAAATCTATGAGAACGCAATCCTTTCTCCCCTGCTCCCAACCCTGGCAGGTAACTAAGGTCAAAAGTCTGAGCTCTTAGTCCACAGAGCCAACCAAGTCATAAAGAATGTTTTAATACTTTTTAAGGAAAAACTAGCCTAATCTGCATGGGGGAAGGAATAAAAGATATTGCTTCCATCACATGTTTTTATGGTGAATTTTCACACATTACTTAAAGATTTCATGAAAACAAAGCATGCAAAAATAATTAGTGGATTAACATGTTTAAATTTCCATAAATTTCCACTATCCTAATTTTAGGTTCTGATTATATTAAACTATTGTAAGACTAGGCTAGGTAGCTGCTTTTCCCCCTGGCTTCTTCCCCTTCCAAACCATCCTTCATATTACTGAATGAATCTTAAGATAGGATCATAGTTTTAGAGCTGAAAGGGCCCTTAAAGATCATCTAGATCATCATTTCACAAATGAGGAAACTGAGGCCCAGTGAGGTTAAAAGACTTACTCAAGGGTAGTGACAGAGCCAGGATTTGAACTCAGGTCCTCTGATTCTGGGTGGCTAGGTGGTGTAATGAATGGACTGACAGGCCTAGAGTCAGGAAGACCTGACTTCAAATCTAGCCTCAGACACGTACTAGCTGTGTGATCCTATTTGCCTCAGTTCCTCATCTGTAAATGAGCTGTAGAAGGAAATGGCAAACCACTCCAGGACCCTGGTGAAGAAAACCCCAACTGGGTCACGAAGAGTCAGACATGACTGAAACAACTGAATAACAACCACCTCTGATTTTAAATACAACATCCTTTGCACTACACCATGCTGCCTTCAAACATGGCTACACCATCATATGAACAGCAACAACTAGCAGCAGCACAGTGGAGTGGGAAAGCACGGGTGTGAAAAGGCTGGCTCCATTCCTTACTAAATCACGTGAACACAGGCAAGTCAATTCACTTGTCTGAATCTGTCTCCTTACCTGTGAAATGGAGATGATGATACTTGTTTTATGTCCTTTATGTGGCTATCCAAGACTCAAATGAGATAAGCAACGTAAAGCACTTTGTAAACTCTGAAGCATTGTCTAAGTGTTGGTTATCATTATTGTTACCTTGTTCTAATTCTTTTTAAATGAGATAGATTTCAGCTAGAAATGGTCTTGGGACAAGTGGCTAGCCTGTTATTATTGAAAACTTTTCATTCTATGTAACTTGGAGATGTATATGGGATAGCAACATCTATTAAAACACCATTTCTTAAGTTTTTATAAATCAATCATTTGCCCAGGCAATTGTGGCAATAGCTTGGTTTGTTATGATGGTCTAGTACCAGTATAGTTTATTGGCTGAATTTTTTAGGCTATTTTGAGGTTTGTATTTGTAGCATGGGAGCTTGCCATCTTGCAATTCCATAAAAGATGTATAATTGTGATGCCTAATTTTAGCCACCAGGTTATATCTTGCCGGGCTTTTGAAAGGTATTAAATTTTTATAGCCTGCCGCGTTGGGTTACATAATCTCCACTATTTCTTCTCAAAATCTCCTTTGTTCACTAAGTCCAAGATCCGTAAGAATAACCCTCTGTAGTTTCTTGTAGCAATGACCTGCAATTAATGACTTAATTTACATCATAAATCTGGTTTCCACAAATAAATACACAACTCAGCCAATTTGTTGGATGCTTCTTTGTTGACACTATTGGTGCCTTCATCATATGGATGTCTCCCATTAAGAACCTTTTGCTTCCACTGCTGGATCTTAAGTTACTTCATAGCCTCTATCAAGAGGTAAGTCACTTTCAGTTACATTATACAAACCCAATGGAATTTGATATCTGATCCATGATCAGACTATTGCTCAGGGAAGTGATGTCTGCTAAATACCAAAGTATTTTTGTAAGGTTTTGACCTGTTTAATGTGGTCTAAAAATGTCTATCCTTTTAGCATGGAAGTATTAATCTTTTTATACTTGCCTTAGGGTGAAGGGCCTTATGTTTTGTTAATATGGTACAGGTTTGTGTTAGAGTACGTTCCAAATCTGTGGTGGTCCATTTTACAATTCTGGAAGGTGTATGTTAGGACTGGTATTGAATAGATGTTAATAATTTTTTTCCCCATAAGTTTGATTTCAGAATGCCAGTAAGCCTTTTAACCTATCCAACTACAGTCGTTTCCTTGTTATCCCAATGTCGGGTTTTTTTCTTTTTTTGCCTAGAGAAGACCAAGCTTATTCGTAGGTTTTCTCACTTGTTCAATATAAACTTTGGATTCAAGCTCAAAATCTTTACACTGTATCTTTCCTTATCATATGTATCTCACATTTACCAAATCTAATGACATTTTGATATCAATGGAGAAAGATTCCATGAGATGAATGAATGAGTTGTTTAATTTTATTTTTGGGTGGAGTCATATAGCTTGATGTCATTCATATGCATCCAATAGTTAATATGGTGTTTTGGTCTGACTTCTTTAATTTAGAAGCCATAGTCAGTTCTTTTTAGGGAAGATAACAGATTTAATGCTAAAAAGAGCCATAAGGGGTTTAAAGTAGTTCATTTAAAAATGGCAGATTTGAGTCAAAGCCTTTGCAATAATCAATGAAGGGAATGTGTATGTCATGGCATTTTGGAGCAGTTTCTTTAATAAGTACTGATTGATAATAAGTTACTTTTTATATCCCTGGACTTTGGGATACACCCTTTTTACTCTTTAACCAACATATTGTTTTCTTATTAAGTGTCTGTATGTATCTTTTTTTTGTGATACAAGTTGAAATGCTTTGTATAAATTACATGAACATATAATTGGCCTGTATTTGGAGGGGTCCACTGGTATTCTCATTCATTGATAATAGCCATGTGATGCCTTTTGTTAAGAAAGTTGGTATCAACATTCCGTTTGATAGAAAGCCGGTAAAATGCCTTTCTGGTAATTCACATCCCCCTGAGAAGTATTTTAGCCAATCATTCTGGATCTTATCTAGCCCCACTATTTTCTAGTTTGGGGGGGAGAAACTAGAGTTTCCATCACTTCTCTTGGGGGTAGCTCTTCTGTTGTTCATCATAATATGGTGCACAACTCGTTTCGCATCCAACTTGCATTTTTGTTGTGTTGGCCTTACTGCCACAATCCAGATGACCATAAATTTTCTACGTGTCCTTCAGAGTTTCTCTCTTGACTTTGATGTCTTTTACTAAGTCTTGTTTTATGTTAAATTGTTCTTATTGTCTCACCTTAACCTTTTGAATTTTACTTTCAGTTACTGCTCTACCGAATCTAGGATTCCTAATATGCTTTTGTTTTCTAGATGTCTTTTCATATGTTTCTTTTTTTGTGCCTTCAATCGGGTGAATTTAGCATTCACATTTCTCTTGCATGTAGCAGCTACTGCTGTAATCTTTTAATACCTTTCCAAAAACCTTCAAAAGCTCTCCCAAGCCACTTATGCCAGGACAGTGTTTGATGCCTAACTGTAGGGTTGTTCCTTGATAGCGCCATCTTTCCTTTTATGATTCTTACTGTGGCAAAAGCTACCACATAAACTACTCTTTGTAAACCTTGAAATGTTTTCGTATTTTCTGTCGAATACCACGAAAGAATATTACGGGTTGTTTTCATGTCATCAAATACTTGGAAACTTTATGCTGCCCTGTCTAATCTTTGACTCTCAAGAGCAGTTATCTCTTGTATCACTTAACCTTTCTAGACCTCACTTTTTTATTTGTAAAATGAGGGAGTTAATATTAGTTGATCTAAGGATTCTGAACAATGAATGTACAATAATCATTAGATTTTAAGATCCTTGAGGGCAGGGACTATCTTTTGCTTCTTTTTGTATCCCCAGACATTAGCACAGTGCCTGGCACACAGTAGGTACTTAATAAATGTTTATTCATTGATTAAAGAAGTTCTTAATTTCTTCTAGCAGTGGTAGGCATTTCCCAAGGCTCTGTCCTCAGATTCTCCCTTCTCTAAATAATCTCTCTCTTGGTCATCTTATTCTGGGATTTAATTATCACCTCTATGCAGATGACTCCTCTAAGTCAGTCTCTTGCTGACCTACTATGACCCTATTATCTTCAACTGCTTGATAGATGAAACTATCTGCATATCCCACCAACACATGAAATTCAATAGATGGGGGTCTGACATGGATGTTGATCCAGAATAATAAGATAGGAGGGGAATCAAGAAAGACAAGTGTTGTAAAAACCCAGAAAAGTGTTCAGTCTCCAGGATAAAATGTTGCATAAATGTGAAGAAAAATGAAGATTAAGGCTATTATGATTGGCAATTAAGAGATCATTAGTAACTCTGGAGAGGGTAATTTCAGCTGAATAGTGAGGCTGGAAGTCATACACCAGAAAATTTAGAAGAGAGTAAAAGGAGAGAAAATTAAGGCGTCAAGAACAGATGTTTTTTCAAAAACTTTGGCTGAGAAAGGGAGGAAGGACATAGGAGATAGCTAATGGGATGGTGGGATCTACTGAGGGTAGTAAGGGATGAATACTTGGGAGTTTTTGTAGGCAACAGGGAAGTAACCTAGGAAGAGATCCAAGATTAGGGGAAAGGGGATGGTAGTGGGGACAATGTACTGGAAAAGATACAAGTGATGGGATCAAGGATACATGTAAAGAGGTTGGCCTTGGTGAGGAGTATGGCCATTACTTCATCGGAGACTGGATCATTGGAAGAAATGGGGGAGGGGAATAATGTCACTTGGGTTCTTTATACCTTTCAGCCATTTGTGTAATTGTGAAGTTGCAGTCTGTTATGGAATCACTGTTTGTGCCCTTCATCAAGGATGCCTTGGATGTATATGTGTGTGTGTGTGTATGTGTGTGCAGACATTATTTTCATTGGCAAAGTAGGCACTGAGAAAGTTGGTAGATGTTGATATTTTCTATGTCACCTATTTTGGGTACTAATTTGGATAAAAATTTTAGGTCTTTTCCATTTCTTGTGTTTTCTGTTCCATCTCCAGTTTCAACCTTCAGTATTTCGGGGATAATTTGTTTATTTTCTCTCTTGTCAAGCTTTCTTTGTATTTATTGCTTTCTCCAGCACTTTTCTGTTTTGAGTCAACACTCTTCAAAATCTTCCACCATTTTGCCATGTGAGTTTATATTCTAAAATGTGTGGTGTCCTTCGCATTTAAAAACAACAACCTCCCCCAAACAAAAACTGGGGGTAGAAGTAGCTGCATGAAAACAATGTGTTGAGAACAAGGTTGGTGACAGTCCCTTGTATTCTCTTTTGGTGACATCACTTCTGGAATGTTATACACCAGAGGTATCAAATTACAACATCCCTCACAAGTGGTCATTCATCCTACCTTGGAAGAACTCTAGTGACAGAACTCCTCTTTTCCCAAAGCAATCCATCATACTTTTGGACAGCTCTAATTCATCCTAACATTGAGCCAAAGTTTGCCTTGTTATAACTTCTAACCATTCATGCTAGTTTTGCGTTTTAGGGAGTAATCTTCCAATATTTGAAGACTTCTATCATATTCCCCTGAAATCCTCTCTTTACTAGGCTAAACATCCTCACAACAGTTAATTTAGTCTCAATTTCTTCAAGAATCTGTTTAGAATACATACCTATTTGGAAGGTGATGACTGCCAAAAGATGTACTCCCCCCAGGACCCACAAATAGCCTCAGTCCTTCTTCTAAAAATTAAAATAAAAACTATGTTATTTTCAAGTAGTATAATAGCCATGGATAAATTTCATGTTACATTTTAAAGTTAAATGTTCTATCACCTCTCTCATCAAGTTACCTAAAGTTCTTTGTTAACTCAGTGCTAGAGAAATCAGTTTCTATGAATATCCATTAATACGTTTATTTCTTTGTCTCTATAATTACTTAAATAATGAAAACTCAGTCAATTTTAAATGATATTTGTTTTCTCAAGCACAATAAAACTTTTAATAGTAATATATACACCTTCAGCTATGGAGAGAATTCTGGGAAAGAAAGATCCTATCGTTGGTTTCTGTTTAAACAGTACATCCCTGGGAATTCCAGTTACCACAATGCCTTACTATTTGATGTACAGCTTCATTGGAATAATAAAAAAGAAAGCTGTCACAGAAATTCAAAACAATTCATAATGAGGAAACTGATGTATACTTATAAATCCAGACAAAGACAGAGGTTATTTGTCTTTTGTTTAAAAAAAAACCTGTTACAAATATATCTTTGCTTTTTAATAAAAGTCTACTCCTTGTCAAGTTCAAAATCCACATTCAGAAAGAAGTAAGCAAGAGAAGTAGTCTTGGGATTATAACAGATATCTATTTACTTGTTTCCCATAAAATCAAATGCCACAATCTATCTATCTATCTATCTATCTATCTATCTATCTATCTATCTATCTATCTATCTATCTATCTATATCATTGAATCTCTTCTTTTAACTCCTGATTTCCAAAATGTATTAGTTGCATAATTCTATGCATACCTTCTGCACTGGAGTCTAGGCTGAAGTCTTGACTTTGCAGTATCTTTTCAACAATATCATCTGCATCCACTCTGGTAGCATCAACGCGTTTTAATTGAGATTCCACAGAATCTTGTTTCACAGGGTGCCTTTGAAAATCAAGCATTATTTTGTTAAAATTTATATTTTTAAGTTTTTAAAATATCAAAAATTTCCCCTTTTTTCTTTTCCATGATATCAAAATATAGTATTGTAACCAGAGACCCCAAAACATACCTATTTAGTTTTTCTGATGATTCGTCACCATCTTGTTTAATGGCTGTATCAAGATTAAGATCAACTGCTTTCTGTTCAGCGTCATCACACGGCTCTAGGATACTCTCAATACCTGTTGATGTACTTCCCACTGAAGCGTTTCTCTTGTGGCAGAGGTCAGAGAAACTGGATGACCTGGAGTGACATGTACTATAACCTATCAGTTGAAAATTAAACTGGTTACAATGCTATTATCAAGAACAGTCTATAATGCAACATTCCATATGACAGTAAGGTTTAAATAATTTTGCAATATGAGTACTTCAAGAATTCAATTTCATTATTAACTTCTACCTGACACTTTTGATTGCTGGCTTGCATAGCTTGATGTTCTGGAATGTCCACAGGCACCAAGTTCATCTGGAACCGAGGCACTCTTTGCTGACAGATCTGTAATATGATATTATTAACGTTACTGATGTGACGGCTGTATAAGGCTATGGCCATACCATCTTGTATGTGGGATCACAGAATTTTGGTACTGAAGCAACCATCTAGTCCAACTGAGATCTTTACACAAAAAAGCATCTCTTCTGCAACACACTCAGATGGTCATCCAGGCTTTAGCCAAAGGCCTTGAGGGAGGAACCAATGTAATACCTCATCTATGTGACAGTCTTTCAGATACTTACAACTGCCAACCTTTCCCCAAAGATGTTCCCTTCTTCAGGCTAAATATCCCCAGTTCCTTCAACTAATTCTTATATGACACAAACACAAGGTCCTTCACCATTCTGGTTGCCTTCTTTGAGCTGCTCTTCAGCTTACGGGTGTCTACACTAAAAAGTGCCCAGAACTGTACTCAATACTCTGAGTGTCGTCTGATCAGGGCAGAGCACAGAGGGACCCTCACTTCTTTATTCCTCAAAGTTCAGCTGTTCTTAATGCCACCCAAAAGTATATTAGCTTTTTTGGCTGCCATCTTTCCAGAACTTCTGCTTTTCAACTATTCTCACACTTGTGGGGTTTATTTCTACAACTTAAATATAAAGATTTAAATTTCTCTCTATTAATTTTCATTTTCTTAGATTCAGGACAGCTTTTTGGCCTCTTAGAATCTTTTTTGGATCTTGTCATCTAGTATGTTAGCTAACTTTTCTAGCTTTGTGTCATCTTCAGACTTGATAAGGATACCATCTGAATTTTTATACAAATCACTGATAAAAAATAATAAACAGCCAAACCAGAGCACTGTACTGGAGGCCTCCTTCCTAGCTGACATGGAACGATTGAGTCTAGACTAGAGGTGGGGCACCTGCGGCTTCAAGACCACATGTGGCTGTCTAGGTCCTCAAGTGTGGCCCTTTGACTGAATCCAAACTTCACAGAACAAATCCCCCTAATAAATTTGTTCTATAAAACCTTGGACCCAGTCAAAAGGCCCACACTTAAGGACCTAGAAAGCCATGTGGCCTCAAGGCCACAGATTCCCTACCCCTTGTCTGGACAATCTGCTGTTTCTGAATCCATCCAATTGCCCACATTTCTCTCTCAATCTTTTCCACATGAACAGCATTAGATTATCAAAGACTTTGCTAAAATCGAGGTAAACTATCATCTGCTGGTTTGGAAAATGACAAAAAAACAAAAAAACAACAAAAAAAGGAAATAGGGCCACTCGAATCTAGCCAAATTACATGTGATGTCATGTACGTGGTTCATGTATACTTGAACACCTGAAAATTTGGTTTAAATATAAAGTGCTCGGCAAACCTTAAAGCACTATATAAATGTTAGCTATTATTAAAATATGAATCTCTTCACCTCATCTATTTTTCAGTTCCTTTCATACCTAAGTATTCTACTAATGGAATAAGGATTCACAAGGGAAATCTGCATTCTCCTAGCCATTTATCCCATTTAGCCTCTAACATCTGGTACAGATTCTGGCTATCATTAAGACTTCACACAAGTGAATGAACTCATGATGGAAGAGCAGTTCCCGATGATAGATGGTTGGGAGAAATTACAGGGGCATGCTGTAGTGTAAAGAAAGACCAAATTTAATCATGCAACTGTGGAATGTCAATGGAGGCAAAATAGCAAGGGGAGGGGTAGCTTCTGCATATGCAGTACCAGAGCAGGACACCTGACAAACATTCACAAACCTGAACATTTCCATATACAAAGAACAAAAAAAGAGGATTGTATACGAAACCATGAATACACATTAGTTTGTTTTTTAAAAGTAGATATTAGATTTAACATGGTAGTGCCCTGTTTGAATTCCCTTCTGTTTTCTGTGTACTTTAAAAAATATTTTTATTGAAGCTCTTTTGTTCAGATGCCACTATCATTCTCTCCCACTCCTCTCCCCTGATGCCACCAAAAGAAAAAAAAATCCTTCCTTGTAACAATAAGTATGGTCAAGTAAAACAAATGAAGACATTGTCTGAGTCTGAAAATCTCAGTCTCCTTTGGCCTGATAATTCGTTGGATCTTTGCCAAAAGATGGGAGGCATAACTCATCATCAGCGTTCTGGAGTTATGACTGACCATGCATGGATCAAAGTTCTTACGTCTTTCAAAGTTGTTTCCCCGGTTCTGATCATTTCACTCTGCATTAGTTTGCATAAATCTTCCCACGTTTCTTTGAATTTGTCCCTTTCATCATTACTTACGGTATAATACTCTATAATATTTATGCCATGATTTGTTCAGTTCTTTTGCTGCAACAAAGTGTTGCTATATAAATTTTTTGTATACATGGGTCTTGGCAGCAGGGAAATAGTAATAACTTAATAAATGCTTGATTTTTTAAAATTAAATTTTTTTTTCAATAAAATCCACCTTCTTTCCCTCTCACTTCATTCTTTCCTCCATTCTCCCTGCCCTTGAAAAGGAAAAATAAAACCCGTTATAAACATGTATAGGTAAGCTAAACAAATTCCTATATTGGCCATGGCAAAAAAAAAAAAAGTCTCACTCTACACTGAGACCATCCCCTCTCTATCAGGAGTTAGGACAGCATGTTCCATCATGAGTCTTCTGTAATTATGGTTGGTATTTGCAATGATCAATTTCTAAGTTTTTCAAAGATGTTTATCTTTACAATAATGTGATTGTATAAACTGTTCTCCTGGTTCTGCTCACTTTATGCTACATCAATTCTTACAAGTCTTCCAAGTTTTCTCTGAAACTTCTCTTTTCATTATTTTTTATAGTACAATAGCATTCAATCACATTACATACTATAATTTGTTTGTCCATTCCCCAAGTGATGGGTACCCACTCAGTTTCCCACTTTTTGCCACTGTATGCTTTTTGTACATCCTTAGTTAGTTTTGCTTAAGACTAATCTCTCCCTTAATCTACTCTTCCGCTTATTTTCCCCCTTTCCTGCTGTTTCCTTGATGAGTGATATGTATTACCTGCTCTACCTACCCCTCCTCTTTTACTGTAGAGACTTCTACTTGCTTATCCCGATTACATGAGATCCAAGTTCATCCCTCTTCTCCCTTTCCATTCTTCTAAGATCATCAAAACATATTAGATCCACTCCCAGATCCTCTGTCTAATTAATACTTCCTCTATGATCCATGATAATGAGAGTTCTCAAGGGGCTCACACTATGTCCCGATACTAGAATGAAAACAGCTTATCTTTACGTTTATTTGCCCATGTTTATTTACTTTTTTAATGTTTCTCTTGACTTCTGTGTTTGAACTTCAAAGTTTCTATGGAGCTCTGGTCTTTCCATGAGGAATGCCTGGAAGTCCTCTATTTCATTAAAGACCCATTCCCCCCTGTGATTATACTCAGTTTTTCTGGGTAAATTCTTGGCTGTAAGTTTATCCCCTCTGCATTCTGGAATATTGTATTCCAGGCTCTCTGGTCCTTTGAAGTGGTGGCTACTAAATTGTGCATCATCCTCACTGTGACTCTTTGATACCTGAATTTTTCTTTCTGGCTGCTTGCAGTATTTTTAATTTGACCTAGAAGCTCTGAATTTTGGCCATGATGTACCTGGGAGTTTTCATTTAGAGGTGACCAGCAAATTCTTTCTATTTCTTTCCTTTTATGATTTTTTGAATATGATATTTAAGCTGTTTTAATTGGTCATGGCATTCATGGTAGTAAATGATTCTTAAATGATCTCTCCTCAATCTGTTTTCCAGATCAGTTGTTTTTGATATAAGAAACCTTATATTTTCTATTTTTAAAGTCTTTTAGTTTTGCTTTAATATTTCTTGTTTTCCCATGGCATCATTATCTTCTTTCTGTCTGGTCCATTCTAATTTTTAGGGAATTTGTTGCTTGGGTCAGGTTTTCTACCTCTTATACCAAGCAGTTAATTTCCTTTCCAATTCTTTCTTCCATAGTTCTTATTTCTTTTCTATTTTTTTCCTTCTAGTACCCTCATTTAATTTATTAAAAACATGTTTTAACTCTTGCTTCAACCCTTCCAGGAATTCTAGTTGAATTTGTGCTGAAGGTGTGTTTTTCTTTGCTTATAGCTGTTTTAAAATAATTCTCTTCTTTAGAGTTTGAGTCATGAAATGTCCCTGTCTCTGTAAAAGTTTTATTTATTTATTTTTTGGTGGAATCTTTTTTTGTTTGCTCATTCTTCCTGCCTACTTCCTAACTTTGGACTTTATATGGAGGCTAGACTGTGTTCACTTCTGGAGGGAATGTCTGGATTGACCTTGTGTTCTCTGGATCCGTGCTACTGCTTTCTTGGAGGTATTGAATTATTATTCCAGGATCTCAGGGACAGCTAAGGCTTCAGATCTACAAGCTTTCAGTGCTCCCAAAGTGGCCTGATCTAGGGCAAACTTTGATTGCTGCCCCTCTGCTCTGAGCTCTGCAAGTTACTGACCAGGGTTTTAGTTTGAAAAATACACCTGTGAGCTTGCTCCTGATAGGAGTTATGGTATACTACCCAGTACTTAGCACAGTGCCTGGCACATAGGTGGCTCACTAAATGTTTACTGAATCAAAAAGACTGCAGTGGGACTATCAGCCACTTAGAAGCTCTACTGGCTTAGAGTGACTGGTTCCCCTTTCATCTGGGGTTCTGCCTTGGTTATTTAGCTGCATGTTTTAAAGTGGGCTGGAAGCTAGAACTGAGATTCTGTTCCACTCTGGGGAACTTGCTGCTTGTTTAATACATAGCCTACTGCCCAAGATCCTGGACCACCACCTTTAGGTACAAGTCTTATCCTCCATATACCTTGGAAGTTACCCAGAACTAGACAGTGAACAACAGAAACAATAGAACTGCCAGTGGGTCCCTATTCCTGGATCCTGTAGAAAGCTAGGTATCTCTGTGCTGGATTTGGGACCTCTTCTTGTCCCAGTGCACAGTCTCTTCCTGTGGTGAAACGGTTTGCATGGCATACTCCCAACTAGACACTGTGCCCATTGTCCACAAACCTCTCTGTCTTTCTCCCTATGCAGACCAGGGCTAGAAAAAAATGATTCACTGTGCATTTTTCCCTTGGATTTCACAATCAGGACTCAGTCTGGTACCTTTTCTAGATCTGTTTGGAGGTGTTATGAGAGAGCTCAGCTGTACTTCTTCCTGCTATTCCACCATCTTGGCTCTGCCTAATAAATGTTTGTTGATTGATTTCTCTCTGCCTTGACCTCAGCAACCTCCGGGAAACTCTAGGCCCTTAACCCTGCTCTGACCTGCAGTTTCTAACTACTCTCAAGAAGACCCCCACATACCTCAGTAGTTTTTAACCACCCCTGTTCTCAGAAGCAAGGACACTTATGTGATCTTGTTTTTGTAACATCTCAATACCTTCAACACTCCCTTTCCTGCAGCTTGGCTGTTCTGTGTATCCAGACTATAGGCCCTCCTGATGTTTCCCACAACTATGCCTCATAAGAATTCCCTTCTCCTCTTTCTCCCTGGGTATCACTTTCTGAATAAGGCAGCATGTTGTCCCAAATTGCACTTCCCCAACCCTGAATAAATGCCTTACTTTATTTACTGATCACCTAGTTGGTCTGAGTTTTTTAGGCTGACCATCTCTTTGGGTGCACATAGGGGCTTTAACAATGATATCACCGAATTTGCTACTATGATTCTCCCTCAGTTAACTGTTTTACTTCTAACTTACATCGACTTTATTTATGTAAAACTTTAAAATTTTATGTAATTAAAAAGATTATCTCCTGTGATCTCCTCTTTCCATAATTTGGTCAAGAACTCTTCTCCTATATAGCTGTGAAAAGCATCTCTCCCCAGCCCCCCACTAAATATGTACTGATATTTTCAGTTTCTTATATCACCACAGTATCTTATGTATTCCTCCCTCAATCCCTCCCATATGACAAGCAGTATTTTTTAGAGTAGAAAAAAGTCAGGACAGTTGACTGCTACATTGAAAAAGTCCCACAACATGTGCAATGTGTAAACACAGTATTATGTTCCTTCAGTTCTTTTACCTGAATCTTTTTTTCAAGGTGGCCCTATTACCACTGGCTCTCTTCTCAGTCTTAGTTTCCTCTCCTCATTGTTCCTTTTTCCCTTTAGGGTTTTGCTTAGTTCCTCTCTTTTGCTTTTATCTGGTTATGTATATATTCCTTCTCAGTCAAGGAGATTCTCCCTTCCTCTCCTCACCTTCAGATAGCCCTACTCAATGGTTTTAAAAAATTTCATTTTTTGTGCTCCTTTCCAAAAGGGATTTTTCTCACTCTTTTCATTAACCATTTTCTCTGCTTACTCTAGACCCTCACTCTTGTGTACCTAATTTTTTCAATGACAAACTTTTCTATATTTTAATCAGTACTGAAGAATCTATAGCAAGAAATTTGGGAGATAATGTAATTTTGGCTCAGAGAGGTTTGTATAATAAGAATTCTACTATTCTACCCATTAAAAGTATAACATCCATTTATAATCTGAAGTTTCTTATAATCTGAAGTAACTTTGTTTTTCAAAAGTCTCACAGGAAGAAATCACACATATTTTTAATTCAATGTTGGCACACTATTAGGCCTATACCTCCAAGAAGGCCAAAAACACAGAGAAGGGTCTCATATATACAAAACTACTTTGTAGCAGCATTTTTTGGAATATGAAAGAACTGCAAACAAAGTGGACACTCATCGATTGCGGAATAGCTGAACAAATTGTGTTCTATTAATACAAAAGAATATTATTACACTAAAAGAGATGTTAAATCTAAATGGTTAAGAGAAACTTAAGATGACTCATATGAACTGATGCAGAATGAAGTGAGCTAAAACAGAATAACTTAAACAATAACTGCAGTTATGTAAAAGAAAATAACACTGAATGACTTCAGAACTCCAACCAATTTTGTCTAGAGGAGCCCAAGGTTAAACATGCCTTCTATGTCTTAGGAGAGAAGAGACAGACTAGTGGTATGAAATTAGTTATATATTTTCAGACATGCCCAAAGTTTGTATTTGATTTGTTCTGCTTGACTATATTTATTAGAAGACAGGATTACACATGGGGTCAAGAATCATTTGGAAGTGATAGCAGTGTAAAACAGAGCAATAATAATTAAAAAAAATTATAGGAAGAATCTTAAAGCTGTACCTGACAACCCAAGGTGGATTTTGAGAGTCTCTCCACCCTTTCGATCCTCATGTAGTGATTCAGATTCACCGGCAATTGGTATATACATTGATGTGGAGGGAGGCCTGTAAGTAAACATTTGTAGGCTCAGTATTTATGTGTGAGTCTGGAACATTATTTTAGATTATTTGTCTTTTTAAAATGTTTTCTCCAACCTAATCTGAAGCACTGACTAATTCCAGCTTTTCCACTGGCATTCCCCTGATACTATAATAAAAATTTTAGGTAATATCTGACTTAGTTTCTTTCCCACTTGCTTGCGATGTCTCCAAATCTCACAGGCATCTCAAACTCAACCTGTCTAAAACAGAACTCATTAAATCTACTGCTCTTCTGAGCTTCTCTAATACTGAGGAAGACATCACCAGCTTTCCCAACATCTAGCTTTGTAATGCTGGTGACATCATCAACTCCTCATTCTTATTCACCCTATATATCTGATTAATTGCCAAATTCTTATTTTTATTTCTACAGCATCTCTCCAAATGTCCCCTTCTCTTTACTTACACAACCATTACCAACTCTCTCCTGGACTATAACAGCCTCCTAATTGGTCTCCCTTTCTTAAATCTTTATGCACTTCAATCTATCTCCAAACTGCTGGCCAAGTGGTTTTCTGGTCTTACCATGTTACTTCCCTATTTAATAAATTCCAATGGCTCTCTATAACCCTAAAAATAAAACATAAACCCTTCCCTTTGGCATGTACAGCTCTTTAAAGCATGGTCTCCTCCTAGCCTTCTAACACACTGCTTCCTTCCATGTAATCTAAGGTCCAACCATAGTGGTCTACTTGCTGTTCTCCACCTGGGATGCTATCTCATGTGTCTGTGCCTTTCTACTGTCTTCCCTGCCAGGAATGTTTTCCCTCCTCACCTCTGCCTCTTAGAATCTCAGGCTCCCTTTAAGACTCAGCTCAAACCTCAGTTTTGGCAAGAGGCTGCTCTTCGTCTCCCCGGCTGCTAGTGCTTTCTTTTCTAGGTTTACCTTGTATTTACTCTATCTGTTTTGTATTTACGTACTTTGGCTCCCCATTAGAATGAAAGAATGTAAAGGGCTGTTTTTGCTTTTTGTCTCCCTGATGCTTAGCACAATGCTTGGTACAAATTAGGAGCTTAATAAATGCTTGCTGATTCACTGGATCCCTGCTTGTTGAATCCCATTAGAGGGGATTCTTGTTTAGATGCAGGTTGGACTAGATGGCCTCGGAGGTCCCTTCCAACTGTAAGTTTTACTGGACCAATTGGTTCCTTATCATCTCTTTGCAAATACAGGGCTATGGAGGGTTTTTTTAAATGAAAAGGTAGCCTCATCCTGTTATTTTACCTGTAGAAAATAAGAAGCCTTAGCACTTATTAATTTTTTGCTTATTCTGCAGTATACTGCTCAAGTCTCTTGAATACCTTCCTCCGTCAATTCTCACTTTTATTGACAAATATTTTGGCCTCCTGTTTTACTGAGAAGATCTAAGTCAGACATGAATGCTCTCATATTCCCATTCTATTCTTAAATATATCTGGCTTCAAAACCAGCCTCTCTCTCCTCTTGTCTTAGAGGAAGTGATATCACTCCTTTTTCAAAGCCGACATATTCATTTGACTGTGCCTTCAATTCTGTCCCTTCCAGACTCTTTTGATTTCACTCTATAAACAATCCTTCCTCCTCACAGCATCTTCAATATTTTCTTAACTCATCTGTCTTCTCCTCACCAGCTATCATACCATGGCATTTGTATCCCCTATCTTCATCCCCCACCTCTACCCCTCATCCTTTCTCCTTGACCCTTCTGCAACCATAAGAAAATCAGTTCTATCCTTGCTCCTGTAAAGTATGTGTTTTTACACTCCCCACTCCCTTTCCATTCACTATCCTGAGAACTTTCAAAACCAAAATAAACCTTCCAGGCCAACATTCCCCTATGTGGTATAATTTCCCCCCATCAGAATGTAAGCTGCTTTAGACCAAGAACTGTCTTCACTTCTGTGTTTGTACACAAAGGGCTTAGTTAGTATGGTGTTACTGCTTCAGGTGACCCCATTTGGGATTTTCTTGGCAAAGACACTGGAGTGGTTTGCCATTTCCTTCTCCAGCTCATTTTACAGATGAGGAAACTGAGGTAAAGAGGGTTAGGTGATTTGCCTAGGGCTACACAGCTAGTGCATAAGGTCACGCTGGAACTCAGGTCTTCATGAATATAGGCCCAGTGCTCTTATCCATGGCGCCACCTAGCCACCCACTTAACACAGTGCTTGGTACATATTAAATACTTAAAATGCTTTTTCATTCGTTCACTATTCTTAATCTCCAATAAACATTCACTGGAAACAATCCCCTATAACTACAGTTTTACCTTTCTTTCCTATTATTACTAACCTTCCTCGACAAGTGGTCTACTTCAGTTAACTTTAGTTCTAAAATAAACAATTCTCTCCTTAACTCCCTGCAATCTTTCTTCCACTTCTGCCATAGTGCTGAAACTGTTGTCCTTTCAGGCCATCAGCCTCTTAGTTACCAAATTTGGTCATCTTGCCTCAGTCTTTACTATTCTTGACCTTTCTATAGCTGATACTATTAATTACCTCCTCCTTGCTAAAACTTTTTCCTTCTTTATTTTCCAAGACAATCACTAGCCTGGTCCTTTTAGTTCAAATATTATCTTCATATACAAAATGGGTATATTTTACCTTCCAGTGTTGCTATGCAGATCAAATGAGTTATTCATGTAAAGAACTTCCTAAGGTTCTAGGTGTGTGAATATAAAAATGTCTCCCTACATACAGATATTACCATATATGCTTTTATACAAACATTTTCTATATACACATATATGTATACACACATACATAAAATGTCTCTCGTTACTAAAAATCAGCATGATGTAACAGAAAGTGTTGATGTGGAGTCAGACAATCTGCATCTGAATCTCAGCTTTGAGATTTACTAGCTGTTTGATCATGGGCCAGTTATTTAATCTCCATCCCACGATTTCCTCATCTGTAAAATGGAAAAGTATATTTTTCCCTTTTAGGGTTGTTGTGAGTAAAAGACTTCAAAAACCTTAACGTATTATGCAATTATGTGCTATTATTATTGTCATTTGTTACCCCTCATCATTTTTCTGTCTTCCTTACTGGCTCATCTTCCTCCTCTTGTCTCTCATTTCTCTCAGTGCTCTGTCAGAAATCTCACCTATTCTTCTAAATATATTTTTTAAAATTTTATTAATTTATTTTGATTTATCAACAATCACTTCCATACGCTTTTGAGTTGAAAGTTTTTCTCCCCTTTCCTCCCCCCAACTCTCCCCAAGATGGCGTACAATCTGATATAGGCTTTACATTTACATTCCTATTAAACACATTTTCACATTAGTGAATTAGTAAGTGAAAATTAAAACCAATAGGAGGAACCATCAGAAAGATGAAACAAAACTCAACAGAAGGTAAAAATAAGTGAGAGCGATTCGACTTCCATAGTTCTTTCTTTGGATGTGGACAGCATTTTCCATCCTGAGGCCTCTGGAGATGTCTTAGACCTTGTAATGCTGTAAGTTTAACAATATTAGTCATTGCATAACGTGGCTGTTATTGTGTACAAAGTCCTCTTAGATCTGCTCACTTCACTCAGCATCAGACCACATAAGTCTTTCCAGGTTTTTCTGAAGTCAGCCTGTTCATCATTTCTTATAGCACAATAGTATTCCATTACATTCATATACCACAACTTGCTCAGCCATTCCCCAATTGATGGGCATCCTCTCAATTTCCAATTCTTTGCCACCACAAAAAGAGGTCCTATGCATATTTTTGTACATGTGGGTCCTTTTCCCATTTGTTTGATCTCTTCGGGATACAGCCCTAGAAGTGCTATTGCTGGATCAAAGGGTATGCACATTTTTGTAGCCCTTTGGGCATAGTTCCAAATTGTTCTCCAAAATGGTTGGATCATTTCACAACTCCACCAACAATGTATTAGTGTTCAATTTTCCCACATCTTCTCCAACATTTATCATTTTCCTGTTTTGTCATGTTGGCCAATCTGATAGGTGTGATGTGGTACCTCAGAGTTGTTTTGATTTGCATTTCTCTAATCAATAACGATTTAGAGCATTTTTTCATATGACTATAGATGGCTTTAATTTCTTCATCTGAGAACTGTCTGTTCATATCCTTTGACCATTTATCAATTGGGAATGGCTTGTGTTCTTATAAATTTGTCTTAATTCTCTATATATTTTAGAAATGAGGCCTTTATCAGAGAGACTGGTTGTAAAAATTGTTTCCCAATTTTCTACCTTCCTTCTAATCTTAGTTGCATTGGCTTTGTTTGTGCAAAAACTTTTCAATTTACTGTAATCAAAATTATCCATTTTGCTTTTCATAATGTTCTCTATCTCCTGTTTGGTCATGAATTCTTCTGCTCTCCATAGATCTGACAGGTAAACTATTCCTTGTTCTCCCAGTTTACTTATGGTATCAGCCTTTACATCTAAGTTATGAACCCATTTTGACTTTATTTTGGTATATGGTGTGAGATTTGGGTCTATGTCTAGTTTCTGCCATACTCTTTTCCAGTTTTCCCAGCAATTTTTTTCAAAGAGTGGGTTCTTATCCCAGAAGCTTTGGGTTTATCAAATAATGGATTACTATAGTCATTGACTACTATGTCTTGCATATTTAACCTATTCCACTGATCCACCTCCCTATTTCTTAGCCAGTACCAACCAGTTTTGAGGATTGCTGCTTTACAATACAATTTAAGATCTGGAATTGCTAGGCCACCTTCCCCTGCATTTCTTTTCATTAGTTCCTTTGATATTCTGGACCTTTTGTTTTTCCAAATGAATCTTGTTATTATTTTTTTCTGACTCTATAAAATAATTTTTTGGTAGTTTGATTGGTATGGCATTGAATAAGTAAATTGGCTTAGGTAGGATTGTCATTTTTATTATATTAGCTCGGCCTACCCATGAGCAACTGATGTTTTTCCAATTATTTAGATCTGATTTTATTTGTGTGAAAAGTGTTTTGTAATTGTGTTCATAGAGGTCCTGGGTTTCTTCTAA